GGAATCATTGCCAAAAACAAATTCAATTTCATCTCCATGAACTTCACAATGATGTGGCTCAATCTCCAGCAAAATTAAACTACACCTTGGCCTATATACTTCCACACCTAGCTACATATTTGGTGGCTATATATCCATGGAATTTAATCAAAGAGATTAGTAAAATTAATCCAAATGACTTAAATTTATCTTGTAAAATATAAATACTTATATATAATTCTTTTAATGGACTTCAAGTTATTAATATGGACATATCTTTTAGTACAAATAAGACCGAGAATAAGAAAAAATATTATTTATACTAAATTTGAATTTCAAATTTATTATAAATAATTTTATAATTTAATTTATTTAAAATTTAGATTCTATACATATTTTTTATTTACTCAGAATTTGTAGCCGCAAAAGCTATATTAATGCTTGTAAACTCCATGTGTGCAACTTGAAGTTTCCATATATTACATGGGCAACATAAGTTGAATTTGTTTTCTTGCCTGTAATCATATATATATTGAAATTCATAAAACTTTTTATATTCTACCTTTTCTCAAACTTTCAAATATGAAGCATGATTGACATTTTACACGCCGCTGATCATCGTCAATTATAAGATAAACAAATATTTGTCATGAAATGTTATGCATGGCATGCTGAAATATCATTTTCTTGATTGAATAATTAACCATTTAACATCAAGTCAACATTAATCCAAGGGAAAAATAGGAAAAGAAACAACAGATATTGCAGCAAAATGGGGTCAGACCTCATCAATTTTGGTCTTGATTTGTCTCCAATGAATAAGATTGCCGAAATAAAATTGTGGGAAATGAGGTGGAGATCCCGTGCAACCATGGCCGCAGCTGAAGTTGGTGGAGATGGGACTGAATACATCATATTTGATCGAAAGAGTCAACTGAGATGCTGTTCCAATGATAACGGCGGGACCCTGGACCTTTCTGTTGATATTTTCCTCGTAAACATAAGCAAGCTTTTGAGCCATTCTCAATCTAAACCATCAAATCTCATTTTATAAAAGTTTATCAAGATCATTTTCTTATAATTGAAGCAAAATTTGTTTAGGAGGAGATAGGGTTGGATGCTAAACGAGAGTTAAAATTAAAAATGCTAAAAAATATTGGAGCAATAATCGGCATTCGGAGGAGAACAATATTTATACGTAGAGCACAGGGTATTAATTCGGAAATCGGAATAGTAGAGCACTTTCCTAAACAATTATTATATATGAAACATTCAAAAATAAAGTTTTGAATGCATTAAATCGTGCTAAAGTGTGTTTAGGAGGAGAAATTAGATCCAGATAAAACTTGAGATACCTCCTACCTAATTATAAAAAAAAAAAAAAATGGGATGAAATTTGTTTCAGAAAACTATCTATATCTTTGTAGTATTTGGAAGAAAAAGAAGAGGCCGAGGAGATAGCCCATCAACCATACAAACAGATAACATAACAGTCTTTTCTCTGACTAGAAAGCCAGGTTGCCCTGTCTGTTGCTTTTCCTCGAAGGCCCTTAAGTCTTGCAGGGCACTCTCATGAACATTGGCTTTTGCAATTGCCTGTATGTGACCTGTTACAAAAGGAATTGGCACTGCACAATAGAGGTCTTCCTTTTTTCTTTCTTTCTTTTCTCAAGGTACATCATATTGAATATAAATAAGTTTGGGAGTTGTCCCACAAAGCAGTTACAGTTGAGAAGAAGCAATCCTTCCAGCGATTGTTGTGTGGGGCTTCCCCCTAAGGTCAGAACTACAAATTTGCAATGTAGGATAAGACAAAGGCGATGTGGTCTCTAATGCATTCACATTTGAAGTAGAAGGGATCAAGGTTTTGCTCTTCTCTGTCAAGTTCCCTAACCATGGTCCATGTGGTGGGCAATCCTTTTCTATCATACGGATGTATAATTTGGTGATTACATGGAACTTAACAAAATGAATTGGACCTTTAAATACACAGTACAATTTGAATCAAACCCAAGAAATTAAACAAGCACTGCAAGGGAAAGAGGATATTCAAATTCAATTCTTTTCATATTTTGGGTACATAAATATTGATTAATCTTTGTATTATATTAAGTTACTGAATTGTAGAACTAACGAAGCAATGGCCGAAGTACTCATTTTTCCTTGCTTGTTTATGTTTTCTTCCTACTTTCCTAGAGAAATGATTTGATCCAGCTCTTTTTTTTTTCTTGTTCCAAACAAAAAGTGTAATTGACAACTTTAGAGAATGTTGGCAAATGTTATCCGCACAGATAGAAAAAAAAAAAAAAAAAAGATGCATAATTTAATGTTTAGGTATGCTGTTAGAGCTAATTGGGGTGGTTTTCCTAATAATTTTGTAACCCATATGGTGTGTTAAAAATCATTAGAAATGTAACCGAAAAAAGACATTTGAAAAATTTTCTCTAAAAACCATCAGATCAGCAATAAGTTCTACAAAAAGTATCTACATATTGTTTTATAAAACTCCGATTAATGTGATTTTTTTTTTTTTTTTCAGAATGAGAAACCACATTTCACGCCATAGCCCTAACCGAAAAGAAAGGCCTAAGAAATAAGCCAGCCCAAGTATGTCCTACCCAATATCAACATGAACTGGGCCAACTATGGATGCAGATCATTGAAAATCATGTCATTCTGATTTCTGAGTGTCTGATCTTTGGAAATCCTATCTTAGTTGAACCAAATTAGTCGAATCAAGCAGATCCTACATCAAAAATTTTTTTTTGAATTTTTTAGTTAATGATCAGTCTAATTCTAATTGACTACTATATTAATTCTAGAGAGAAAGTGACCCCTCATGCAATAGTCTCCCACCAATAAGAATTTTAGTAATCAGCTCCAAGGTTTTCAACAAAATATCAGTAGATTAGTCTTTTTATTGTGTTGTTATTAATAATCCCATATTTCCACACCACCTTATTTCTTTGAAAATTGTAAAAATAAAGTATATTAAGTAATGGTTATAAGGACAATTTATAATTATATTAAAAAATTTTGAAGACATCAAGCTGAAAAATATACAATTAGTAATAATACTGTCGCCTTATGGCTTTGTATCCACGTATTAGATTAATATCCTATTCTTATAGTGAGTAAAATATTGATATGGTGCAAGGAAAATCAAATTTACAGTAGATTTTAAGGTCCATGCACAATAAAAAAGCAACAAATTGACAAATCCATATCCTTTGTTCATTTGTTTAAACAAATTCATTATAATGTGGATTCTCAAATATAATTATCTAAGTAATTTGTCGCTTTTTTCATGCTGGGAAAATAAAGGTAAGCCTCATAAATTTATCGAAAAGGTTAAAACTAGAAATGGGGTGCAAAAGGAGTCTAATCACCAGTAGATCATCAAGCCATAGGATCCCTCTAGTTCTTCTCACCTTACGTGAATGCGCATGGCCTCCTCTCTTTTTAAGTGTCATTTTTTTATAGGACATGATAAATTAACATATTAAAAGACAAAGAAAAATAGTAGTATCTAATGTCTAATGGACTCTCTTTAGTAGTATCTAGTTTTTATATATGTATATAAAAAAAAAAAAACGACCAATCAAATGGAAACTTTTTTTGGGAATACTAACTTTTAAGTCTTTAACCATTGAAGTGAATGATATCATCAAAGAAAAGAATGTAGCTTCTTTCAAGTTTCCTCCGTTGTCATTTGCAGATTGATGGAGCTAAAAATGGCTAATTAATTCCTCTTGAATTAACGTTATTTTACGCTTTCATGGCAGCCACGAGTCAGTCACTGGTACCAAAAGCCTGCTCTTTTGGCCTTCCATGTCTTGCTGTCCTCTGGTCCAACCAATTTCTGTCGCTTCATATGTAGTTCATGTACTCAAACACAATGTATGGCTCCTAATTTCTTGTTTTCCAATAAAATATCATGACCTTTTCTAGGTTTTTTTTTTTTTTTTTTTTCTCAGCCAACAAATGAATTTTATTCAACAAATAAAAGATCCTGACTTTTTCTAGGTTTTGGATTGAATAATTTTGGTAATAGCTAGCTTTCATACAAAAATGAGAAAAAAAAAAAAACCCATTTTTTGCTTTAATAAAAGGGGCAAGTGTGTGGTTCTCTTGAGAGATCGACTTCCAAGAGTCTCTACAAGTTTTTTACGTGTGGTCCATTATTCCATAATTCCATATATTCAAGGTCAAAATTTTCCCAACAACAAGAAGTTATTAAAATAATAATTAAATATTATAAATATATACATCCTAGTGTTTTTTTTTTCAAAATTATTTTTCGTTATTTTATCCAACATTTTGCCCTTTCAATTTAAATTAAGGATTAGTATACTAACTCTTTGTAGATTTCAATTAAATTAATGTCATACTTTTTTACATTAATACTCTTAAATCAATTAATGAAAATTAGTCAATTAGATGGAATTTGTGAAATTTTTGTTTTCTAATCTTGAATTCAATATATAATTGATTATTATTTTAATATAATATATATGTTTATGTTTGAGGATAGCATAGAGCCGTAGTTGATCCGTTTACCAGATCATTGGCCTCTCGATTTTATTTGATAGTAACAGCCAACAAGCCTTTGATATTTTATATAAAAAGGAAAATCTCCTTTTAGTTAAATTTGTATGATTTTTTTCTTTAAAAAAAAAAGAAATCAAGAAAAATAGATTATTTGTCAATTAGGTTGAAAATAATTAAATTTCCATACATATGCAGCCTCTTTAGACTTTTTTTCTTTAAATAAATAGAATAAAATTTCCATCTGTCATATTCAATGAAATTTATCGAAAATTATGATCAGCTGCCTCTTCTCCCTTTTCCTGAAAAGAAAAATCTTTGACATAAATTAACATTTGTAGTGCAAATTTTTAATTCTTTCAACATTTTTACTTCTAAAAGGTTTTTTTCTTAATATCCAAAAAAAAAATTAATATAGTAAGTAATATTTACTGTTAAAAAAAAAATCTGATACAGATCGCATGTGCCTCAATTGGAAACCATGTTATCTCACATAATTGATGTTGGCATTGAAATATTTTTCTATTTTTATTACTTCCAATTTTTTTTTTTCCTTTTTATTCCTTCAATCCAAACATAATATTAATTTAATTCTTTTTATGTCGCACGCTCCAAAGTCATTGCCGCGTGCCTGGAGCCGACCATACCATATCTTTTGTTGCATCTCTCTTTTCTTACATTTCGGTAGTACTAAATAAATCTGACAACTTTAAAGTCTCCTATAAAAACCTCTTTCAGTCTCCCATTAACAGAACCTCGTTCTCTTCTTATGCTTTAACACTCGGATCCGAGCAAAACATCCACTACCCAAAACAACCAAAGTCGCCACTTCTACTCTCCTGTAAAACCAAACTCAAAAACCTCAAAGAACAGAACCAGAAACAGAGGCATTGCTGTGAGAGTGTGAGACCCATGTCTGAAAACGGACACCATTAGCAAATCCGACAAAGGCCCATTTCTCAAATTCAGATTTTAATACTACCCATTTGACTATTTTTCGTTTTTCTTTACAACAACGATTATGATGAAAATTCGAGGGTTCAGGCTTGGACGCAAGCTAGTGAAAATTTTTAAATGGATAATCCGACCCAGAAGAAGAAACTACAGGATTAGTTTCTTGAGACCTCCGACCCGACGCTGCAACCCATTATCCAGAATCTGTTCTTTTGCGAGGTTTCTTCGACGTGGAACCATGGGGCTGTCAAATTCGAATTCGGATGCCGGTTATATCCAATTGGGTGAGAAGGGAGTGAAGCGGGTTCGGGTACCGAAAGGGCATCTTGCAGTGTACGTTGGCGAATCAGAAGGAGACGCAAGGAGGGTGTTAGTGCCTGTGATTTATTTTAATCACCCGCTTTTTGGGGAGCTGTTGAAGGAAGCGGAGCGGGTTTACGGGTTCCACCAATCGGGTGGGATCACGTTGCCTTGTGGAATTTCAGAGTTTGAGAAGGTTAGGATGAGAATTGCTGATTGGGATAATTGCCGACGGAAACAAGATCGTCGTTGTTTGTAATGATATTTTTCCCTCATATTTTTATGGTGTATAAATATTTGATTTAGCTAATTTTTGTGAATATAGGATGTCAATTATTTTTTTAGGCTCTATTCTCTCTCTTTGTCTTTTCCTCTTTTTCTCTTTTTTTTTTTTTTTTAAACCTCAATTGAAAATTTTTGGCCATTAATTTATCAGAATCGTACCCTTTTTCTTCTTTTAATTCCTCCTTTTAATTTGCACTTATCTTACTTCAATGGTGACAAATTAAGCCTATTTGAAGGGTAAATTTATATAATTTTGAATATTATTTGTTGCTACAAATCCAAGCTTATCTTATTAGCTATTCATGCAAACGGCTACAATGCGTTAATGTCAAAGTAAACGATAAAAGTGTTAGTTTCAACACCGTGTGTGTGTATATATATATATATATATATATATATATATATATATATATTTTGAACCATATCTTTATATTTGTCATTCAACCTTTAACAGTTTAGAGCTTTGAAAAGTAGTAAAATTGTTGTCTATTTATAAAACATAAGAACTTTCAAAATTTTATGAACATTGTTATGCTGTTAGGGTGATTGAGTTTGATGAGATATTGAAAAATTATTCAATTTTTTAGAACCTAACGCGACACATAAATCCCAGGGACAATGTCGCAAAACAGACCATGTGCAAGCTTGACTTGGTAAAGAGAAAAAGAATAATGGTTAGCTTAGTATGAACAATGATGAGAGTTGGTTAAGCCACAAAAATAATTAAGATTGGAACTGTCCAAATATAAGAATCAACGTGGCCCTACAGACTTCTAAGATTTATTAATAAGCTCAACAAGATGAAAGACAAAGATCTAACACTTGATCTTAGCCAAACGACTTGGTCTATGGGGAAAGATAAATTCATGGAATTGTATCCGAAAGCGTGTTAATGTTATATATATATATATATGAAGGTTGAATATGACTTGTTCTGATAAAATATTAAATTTTTAATTTTATCAATATGCATTTAATATTGAATAATTTCAATCTAAATTATAAGACTAAAATGTCTTATCAAAACAGGGAATTAGGGAAAAAAAAAACAAAAGAAATTCAAGGTTTAGTCAAAGAAGAAAAATGAGAAAACAAATTAGATTTTCATTTTTCTTTTAAGAGAGGATCCTTGTCAAACTTCTAACAGCCTACAGGCGACTAAGCACATATTGAATTAGTGAGGTTTAACTTGTAAAATGGGAAAATTGGACCGCAATTTCTGGCAAAGTCTGAAGAAAGCAACATTTTTAATCAATGGTGATGTCCATCAAATAACTGTTGCCCACTTCATCAAGATAAAGAAATTAATCAACTCAATTAATATCGTAGCTGTCTTTTGATTGCAAAAATACAAAGCGGCAGGAACCTTGTCAATCAAATTTAATGTCAAAGCCATATAGATTTTTTCCATAATCCCTAACCCAAATCATACATTTTGGTGCAATCATATAGCTCTAGTTCTCCTTTGATTAAGGTATATGTAGAACATGGACAAAAATAGTAGTCCATGAGAGAAAAAGCGGGGAAAACCTCCTTTGCTAGTTGTCCATGACTTTAAAAGGAAGAATAATAGAATAACACTATCAATCAAATGATTATAGATATGAGAGATTGGAGGACCAACGTCCTCTAAGAAAGGCGAAGGAGGCAATAAATACTATCAATCAAATGATCAGAGATATGAGAGATTGGGGGACCAACGTCCCCCAAGAGAGGCGAAAGAGGCAATAACGTGGCTATAGAGCCTTAACATACAATTCAATCCTCTCCCTCTATCCTACTGGCCTTTGCCACTCAATTGATCGCTTTGTCATAACTTTTAACTCGGTGCATATAAATGAGAACCTCAAAGTCTATTACCCCAACTTGGCCAAAGGAACTTTTCCGCAATTTAGGGCTCTACAGATTTATACACCCACCTCTCCTTCACTTTGTTTTCGGATACTCTCAACCATAAACAAGTGCATTCATCCATCAGGCAAAATTTCTCTCTCAACCAAATCAACATCTCCCCCTAGTCAAACTAGACTATGAGAATGAAGAAAATGCCCAACTTTTGTTTATTCTGACTAACCCATATGGCGGAGGTGAGATGGGCGAGGCCATAATTCTAGTCCAAAGTCCATCTTTAACTTTTGGACTTGATACTTTAGTACACAAAATGTTTTGTTTGCGATTAGCAATGCATTGACCCATTAACTTCAACATGCCCACCGACCCAAATTTTTGGCAACGGCAATCACGGACAGCTTACCTCTCATTGCTTAAGTGGCTAAGCCCAAGACCCATTCTGCCCAAACTCAAAACCCCAACAGGCCCTCTTCTCCTTGAAGTGAAGCAACTCAGAACTCACCCTCAGACCAGAGACTATATGTCTAGAAACAACTGTTACTATTGTTATTTTGTATTTAATGTACATAAATATTACTCACTATTAAAGATAATATCAGTTCTGTCAGTTTACCTTGACTTAAACTATTTATGCATAAGCTTCATCTATAAACAACTGCCGGGTAGGTAGAAATATCTTATATATATGCACGATAGAAGTGCAACTAGCAGAATAACAAACATATATATAACAGTAATTTTGAAAATATTAAGGTTTAATGGTAGTAAATTCTTTGTTTATATTCCTCAATCAAGCGCTATAGCCTTGATTTGAAGGATGACATTGCAATGGATCATGGGCGCTGCATGCTGCAACACAAGCTTCCTCCACTAAGGATTGGGAAACACCACTATTGCAAATGTTCGCGAATGCACGCATGTGTTTCATACCGTATTGAGTTAGAGACCCGCAGTGTGTTTCGAACAAGCGAACCTGGAATGAAGATTTAGTTATGAACAATGAAGAAAACAGACTAGTTAAATTTTGAGCGGAAAGAGACTAATACCATAGATTTCAAGCACTGCCAGTCATCAACAAGGGGCAAACCAGGTTCCCTGACAGATTTGAGAATGGCAGAGCCTTTTGCTGGTCCATACAAGAGTGTTCCAATCAAGTCAATGCTGCCATCCAAGTGAATTCTATGCCTCATAATCTCAGTAATCTGTTTTAGTGTTTCTTTCTTCTTTGATCCATCTTCTGAATTTTTGTACTGTATAACAAATGATAACCAACATCCATATCAAGTCCACTAAACAAATAGACTACCCTTTCTAATTTAAACAAGGACCGAAGTTCTGTTCCCATTCAAAAAACCAAAGTAATGTCTCCAAATTCTAATCAAGAAAGTGGTCTACTCTTCTTTTTTTTTAATTCTAAATAGCTAACCATGTTGAGAGATGCAGGCTTCTGATTAGTATAGTTTAAGTATGCAACTCTCTTTTGATGAAAGAGTAAAGTCCATTTTAAAATTTGATAGAATGATTTATAAGAAATTAAACAAAGGAAAACTAGTTATACTAAAAAGTATAAAGATCCAATGCAATGTGAAATTCAATGGTAAAGAACCCGAGAAAAGAGTAGAGCCCAAGCTCACCATATGCCATAAAAAGAGAATATCTGCATCTCTCTGGTTAACAGCTTCCATGTGGGTCTCAGGGCTCAACTCATTTGGAGGAAAGTTTACAGTTGCAGGATCAAAGCCTTGGTACAAATAAAGTTTTTCAGCTTTGATGGTTGTATTCCCATATTCCATCACATGTGAACCACCAAAAGTGTAAGAGTTGAAATTGGAGGTCCGTTCCCTTACCTGCATAATGAAAATTCAAGAATTCTCAGACATTAGTATTTAGTATTTCCAATAAAAAATTCAGTTGCCGAAAAGTAAAAAAATAACTAAAAAATTTGCTGAAAGTATGTTCTGCTTACTGTTTCATATTGTTGCTTTATGGTTTCTCTCTTCAGATTGTGAGTGTCACTGCGATCATAAGAGTATATATAAAAGAGATGATCAGCGAATTCATTACAGTAACTGAAATTAAAGACCTACCGGTAATAACAAGTGCTTAAACATGAAAATTATTATATCATAACGGGAGAAAAAGGCTTTTTCTTCCCAAAGAACTGGAGAAGAGAAAAATAGTTGGAATTGTGATAAAATCACGTTCACTAGAAAATCCCATGAATGTATGTAAGATCAAACGGCTTGTTACTAATAGCTTTAATCAAGCTGATTTGGGGTCTCCAAAAGGTTCAAAGGAGAATAACCGCATACCTGTCCTCCATCCAAGCCACACTGTACAAATCTCCTAAACAAGTGATGTACTCTGGAGGTGGAGGAGGTTTCATGCCAGGGCAATAAGTTCCCCAGCTGTTCTCTTGTGCATTGGATGCTGTTGTTACATAAATATTAAGATCTTTGGGCATTATGCCTTGAAAGATACTCCCACTTTCACAAGCTTCTACATATATAACCTGGTAGCATCAGAAATGCAATGTATAAGATCATAGCAAGTGTAGCGCATGAGTAATTGTGAAGTTAGAAGATCTCTTACCATCTCTTTGTAGCTTCCTGCTGCATGTTTCTTCTTCAAGACATCAAGAAAATCCATGGCATACAGATATGGCGGATTTGGCATCCCTTGAATCAAATTTCAAATTAGTTAGACCTTTGAGGTTTTCTTTACATACTTTGCACAGATGAACATTGAATCCAGTTCAGATACTGCTTTAGCTTTTAGATAAGCAGCTGCAATAGTACTACTAGTTTTGCAGAAAGTTTTTTCTTAATAGTATGGCAATCAGAATTCTTGTATTTCAGCAAAATTAGCAGAAGCTGGCCCCTTTCTTGAAGCTTCTCACCAGAAATTATCCCTTATTTTGTTGAAACTTGAAACAAGTAGCCATACAATGGAGTATACATGATGCAGCACAAAGAAAGTCTTTAACGTACCGAGAATACCAGGGCCTCCATGATCTGAGTAGTAAAGGAATATTCTGTCATTGGATTTGCTATCAACAACCTTTCCACTTCCTCCACTCAGTGCACTTTTGTTACCAAGAAGTACTGCATACAAATTTGCGGCAGTAACATGCTCACCCGTATAATCCTACCATTATGATCCCGCCGATCCGATCAATATGGTTATATTAAAGTAAATTCAAGTGATTAATTTAGACAAACTCAAATTAAAGCTTCCCCACTTAAGTTAGCAGTACATGCCTCACAAGTAAAAAGGTGACAAAACCTATAGATAATCAATATATTTGATCAGCCAGCCAGTTGGTAACTTCCTAGATTTTCAGAAGAGGAATTATTGTGGGTCTAATTCAGGAACCTTACATAAGATTGTTGAAAAACATCCAGGTAAATTCAGAATTAAACAATAAATTCCAGGTTAATCAAATATGATGATACATCCAAGTAGCTAGTCAAGGTTAATATGTATAAAATAGCAGATGTATAAAACAGACGGTAATGGCGAATAATCTACGACAATTAAGTCATTTAGAAGGCCTTATTAGCAAGTAATTTTATTCATCAATGGTTAGCTATTTTCTTTTGGAATTTTTTAACTGACAGCAGGCTTAAACTTCAATTTTTCTGTTATACTTTGGTTGGAATGTCTTGTTTCATTTGACTTTTTGCACAAGTTTACTGTTCATTCCCATTACATTATCCTTTTTCTAAGCAACCACTTTTGGGAGAGTGACATTAGCTCGTTCATCCCTATGTTAATAAATTTTATGTGGAAGTTCACATTTTAATGACAATTAGGTCCTAGAATTACATCCATTAATCTACCACTGTACTTCAAAAGCAGCAATAATGACAAAACGTCCGCCCATTTTATCAAAATCAAAGTGGCCCACTACTATCAAATTGATGTCAAACGACATAAAAAGCAACCAAACAACTCATAACACCACAAATCATGATTAAAAAATGTTATAACCTTAAACAGTTCGATTATTGCTAAGCAAATCATGATCCACATATTTTACAGATATATACCACAGATTTTTTTCTCTTATTTTATATAAAAATTATCTGCCTGTCTCTCAGATTTTTTCTTAATTTATACAAGAACTTCAGCCGAACATTTTTAACTCTAAGTAAACCTCAAATTTCTACACCATTCCTAACCCAAATTAATTAATTAAATTCAGGTGCTTAAGTCATCCTTGATAAAAACAAGTACTTAATGAGTCTAATAACTCAAAACTAAGTTTGCACGATAGAGACTGATGAAGAGTATGCTCACTTACCAAGTTACCATCGAACCTAGCTGACCCATTTATCTTTTGTTGAGTGGAAGGAATGTTATTACCTTAGGCACGCCAGCATAAACATCGTGGCCTCGGGGATTGTTGATGATGACTCCTGGCCTCGGATTCAGCTCATGCATGGCTATGTCATCGTACATAAACACAACTATGTTCTCTTCCTTCAGTCCTCCTTTCCTTAATAGCTGATAGGCATGGCATACATCTGCCTGTAATTGCATCCAAAAAAAGTTTGTATCATGTTAAATAAAACTATCCAGTGTTACACATGTAATACAGTACTAGCACTATGTCCACCACTTAGAAAAAAAATAATAAAGATTTGTAAAAGTAAATAGAATCTTTTTAGCTAAGGAAAGACAGAGAAAATAAAGCGATGAAAAGGGAAAGAAAGCGATGAAAATTAATAGAATTATTAATTTCTCACCGATGCAGAATTATTTTAAAAGAAAAAATAGTCAGGCCGGTGTTTGATCCTTTTGTCAGTTCATTGAAAAGAGTTGAAACCTTATTATGAGTTGATAAATGCTTTACCTGATGCCTGTAATTACCATAGCCAGCGGAACCAGCTACAAGAACAGCCCATGTTGTTCCAAGTTGCTGATCATCTATATCTTGTGGTTCATCTTTTTCTATGGGCAGTCGGATTCCAGACTCCCACTGATTCAACCGGGCGGCTCGTCCAACGTTTATTGCTTCAAAAAGCAATAATAAAAAGAAAAGTAAAGGTGGGTTCTGGAGGAAAACAGAATATTGTTTTGCCATGGATATTAAATATAAAGAGTGAAACGGTTCAACAAAGCCGACAACAGGTAAGAGGAGAAAGGAAATGGAAACTGATTCTTGAAGGGAAAGCAGGGGGGGGGGGGGGAGAGAGTTTTAAAGTAGAGGTGGCAAAGCTGTGTGAGATGCCATGCAAAGAAGAGGTTGACACCTGTGGAAAGAGTTTCAGAATTATGGGTCCAAAAATCCTCTGCTTGAAACAACTAGCTTTGTTTTTTTCTTCTGTAAGTAGTTTGGTTTATCTTGACGGCTTTACTTGCTTCTACTTCTGGTCAGGGAACGGATCGAAAACAGCTTTATGGGACAAACCAAAGTCTAAAAGTAAGAGTATTGGAGAGGTTTAAGCTTGGTTGGTCACGAATCATGTTTAAAAGTTGTCCCACAAATTCCGTTGGTAAAGTTTGGCATGTTAAGATTTTTTTCTTTTTGGTTTACAGGTCTGTTAAGATTTTAGACTTCTGAATCTGGGAAATTGTATGCAGGACAACTGAACTATGATTAGATAAAGCATATGCTGCCTGATTTTCCTTTTTTATATTCTTTCCTGGAAAGAAGTTTTACAAGGCTAAAAGGGGGTAATTTTATACATAACAATTTAAAGCAAGATAAGAGATACAATAGAAAAAAAAAAACGATTTAAAATTTTAATAATAATTATATACAAATTTAATAAAAAAATATTTTATATTTTTATATTGATATAAATTATAATATATAATTTTTATAAAAAATATGATATAAATATATAAATTTTAATATTTTATAAAATATGAATATATAAATCATGAAAGACAAACCTAGGGAAGATGAGGATATCAAGCATGATGTGCTAAAAAAAAGCGTGATCGCTTAATAAAAAATTTTATATGAATTTGATAAAATAAAAAATATATATTTATATCATATTTTATATATATTAAACTCAAAATAAATAATTTTAATGTAATAAAAATTTTATATAAATTTAATAAAATTAAAAATATATTATATATATGTGCTAAATGCAAAATAAATAGATATAAATATATAAATTGTGATTAAGAAGCTTGTTCTTGGTGTCCACCTATTAAGTTTTACAATTTGTCTGCTTTTATGTTAGAAAATTTTTTGGACTTTCAGCATTTAAGCTGGTCAAATGAGGCTGTTGTCAAGCCCAAAAATAGATAAATCATAAAGCTGGTTTGAGATAAAATGATGAAGAAATAAAAAAATTTTATTCATCAATTCAGTCGAATGCATGATTATTAATCATAAGATCAAAAATTCGACCTTTTTTTTCGGCGTTTTGAATATCTTCTTTACTTTTACTCCATGACTCTGACATAATCTAATTCCAAATTTTCATTTAGTACACTGTTTTTTTTTTTTTAGATTTTATTTTTTGTTAATAGGTTTGGCCGGTTTGGACCATTTGTTAGATCCTTATGTTTTCTATCCCTTAAAACAAAATGATCTTTCTTTATATTATTAACTTAAGGAACAAATAGCCGGTCCTGTCTTCCGTCAATGTTGCAAGTGTCAGGGATGAGACTTTAGCTTTAAAATTGTACAGTAACGGAATACGGAGATAGTCTTTTTTGTGATTCATATCATCTTAATACAAAATTTATAATAACTTATAAAGTATTATCTATTCTATTGAATCTTATAATTTTATCTCATAAAAAATATTTTATAAAAAAAAAATAATTTAAACACTTATATCTTAAGATTAATTCTTGTATATAATCAATGTGAGATTTATAATTTTTTTTTAATATCATGACATCTTTCACTTCAATAAAAACTCATCGTCTTTGGTAATATATTATTAGCATCTTCAAAGTTGACTTTGATATTACTTATTATAAGTCGAGATTAAAACTCTAGGATCGCATAATTTCAAATCACAAGAATTACTTTTTTTACATTTTAAATCAATCTAACATAAGATTTATAATAATTTATAAAATATTATTTATTTTAATATATTAAATCTCATAATTTTATCTCATAAAAAATATTTTATAAAAAATAATGACGTACATAATTATATTCTAAAATGTAACTTTAACGTATAATTGATGTAAGATTTATGACTTCTCGCGTAACCGTAACACAAGTGCAGTGCCCTATCTCTAAGCATCTCTTTTTCTTCTTCTCTTTGAATGTCAGTTCTTTCAACAGTGGGATTAGCCATTTCATTGTCACAGCCATTGTCAATTATCAAATGACTGTAATCCACTTTCTTTTTTCTTTTTAAGAAAAAAAATTCTGCTTTACAATCAATTTTTAACTATTCATTGTCGTCATGTGACACAAGCCATCATTGTATAGAAGAAACAAACGCCAGCTTTCACACACAGACATATAGAATTGAAATCCTTGGAAGCAAAAGCTTTGATCTGAATGGCAAACCAATAACTGGTTCTGTTTCTTTCACGTGGAAGACAAGTTATTCCTTCCAACCTGTATGCCATCTTTTCTTAATCTTCCTGAATATAACAGATAACTGAGTATCAGAATCACACCATAAATAAATCAGAAAGGAGCACAAACTTGTTAGCCACAATAATCATAGTTTAATGGTTAATAAACATGTTTCATGAGGACACTCAATTCCCTTATCGTGAAAAGAACAAATACAGCAAAGCTCTTGCTTCTGGTTTCATTTGCTGCCTGATGAAAACTTGTCCACTCAACAGACAAACAGTAAAGATAAAACTTTCAGTATTTTCCCCGCCATGAATACCACTTCAATTTCAACTGGAACCACAGCGGAGGTTTACCCAGAACCCCTCTTGCTAACCTTGAATCAAACACATCAAACTGTACACGGCTGAGGGAATTCCAGAGAACTTGAGCAGGCACAGCAGGTAGAAGTGTTTTTCGAGCCTCAGGGGGTACAGCATCAGCTAATTCACGGCCTTTCAGCAAATGGGCATTGGCTACTGATGCCATTTCAAATATTGCATCACATAACCCCTCGCGAGAATCGAAGCGGATCTCCGATCGACCTCCCACATTAACTAGCAGTCCGTGCTTGGCTGCCACTTCTGCTGGTATGTAAGAAAAGTGACGGTCGCGGCTAGCATGATTTGGCAGTGACTTTAGTAGCAAAAGAAGGCTGCTGGCCTTACCAACATGCGATGCTGCGTGGTCAAAAGCAGTAGACCTGATACCACCAGCTTGAAGAGTCATGTATAGAAGAGTTGATGCAGTATCCTTTGCATATTTCTCCTACTCCTCAATACCCTCTGGTAGGTCAGTTACCTCTCTACTTGCATCATTGATCCGAGCTTCAACTACCCGTTTTAACCAAGCCTTGCTAATTTTACTTTCAGATATCAATGATAAGAGGGCCTGAGCTGCCGGGCGCTTAATCAATTTATTAGCATAAATTTTATCAATGGCTTCTTGCCACCAAACAAGGCGCATGAGACCAATCTTGGGATCAGAAGCAACATCCATAGCTTTGGCAGTTTCAACATTAAAGGCACAGAGTAAAAATGCAGCCTTTCGCATGTTAGGTGGAAGCTCAAGGAGGCAGAGGTAGTGATGATAATCATAGCTCCGCACTTGCATTAGACAGTAGGAGAAAGCTGCCCGTAAGCTACTAGAAATACCGTTCATCAAACCCCTACTGCGGTTCCTTCTACAATGCATTACTATATTAACAGCAAGACCATAAAATGCTCCAAGACAGAATTTTTTAACTACATTGTCAACGAGTATTTTCAATCGATAAAGCAAGCTGATTAGAAACAGAGAAAGAAGATCCTGATATATGCTATGGTTTTAACTTTTATGTTCATACAATTAACAATGAAAAGAAAAAGACCAAAAGCAGCAAAAGACGAAGACACAAGCTAACATACAAATAGATAAAAAGCACATTTATGAATGCAATATATTAAAGGTTAACTATCCAGGCAAAAGATAGTGTAATTGAACCGAAGAAACTGCTTTTACAATAATACAAGGTGCCCCTATTCAATTAATAAACAAATCCAGTAACACATGGATTACAGTGGGAGTTTTCTCCAGCTACCCATCTGCTAAGACACCGATGTAAGCCATTAGCATCCAAAAATTTTGTTCCGAGCTTCGTAAATTAAAAGGGTCCCCATTTAAACTGATGCCATTCCACAATTTTCAGCAATTGAGAATGTTAATAGGAGATAACCAAGGAATCATAGGAAAAATGAGGTTTCTGAATCCTAAACGAACTTACGCGTGTAAATTTTAGCTCATGTACTATTGTACAGTGAGTAAAATTGAGAATTGATAATTCACAGAGATATTTCATCGAACATGCCGAATGCTTTATTAAGATCCAAAGAACAAAGTACCCGATTTGACCTCCCGCAAGATATTAAAGAGGGAAACGGTAAATATGGACAGCTCGCCAAGAGTGATATAAGCGTTCAAAATGGAAGTCCAAAGCAAGAGAATGAAGGCGGTGAGTTAAGCAATGGACAATTGTCCGTGTATAAGACACCAAAAAACAAATACGGCAAAGGTTTTCAGGGGTTCTGCGTTTTACCTTGAGAATAAAACGACGCCGTTGGCTTCTACCACTCTTTCATCCCATTGGCATTTATCCTGAACTCGTGACTTTTTCGTGAACCAAGTTTTCGAGTCGACGATAAGGATTTGATATCGGTGAGTTTCACATTTTTTATTTTCAATGGTTAATACTTCATAATATACAAATTATAGATATAATTCCTGAATCCCTTGCACATAAAATAAATTACAGATAACAGAGAACTTCATAACTGATTAACTTATCAGTGTTCCTGGTCTGAGAGACCTTTTAACAAAACTATAAGCAAAAGCATCAACTGAGAGAATTTCATAGCAGATCTATATAACCAGCAAACTTTGAGAAAATTTCCAACAGAAACTAGTTTTTATGAATTCATCCCATTGAAATTCACACAGCAATTTACTGAACTGGAAAAAGAAAAAAAAGTTAAATTTTCCTTCACATTTATCTGATCTGGACAATTCCAGCAGTGACCAGCTTTTGAATCTTGTGCATCACCATAGGATTCTTCATGTGCTCCTGTGCTGCCTTTGGATTCTCCTGGAAATCAATCAACACCTGCCCACATCCCAATTCCTTTTCATAAACCGTACAACCAACAAATCTAAATATGAACACATTACAAGTACTGCACAGCCGAACCAATATTTTTTCAGTACTTACCTGTCTCATGACAGGATCTGAGAGAATGTTTTGAATTTCTGGATCTTGCATTGCCTTGGCCTGCAACATCACACCAATTTTAGTTTTACATTGGCAACCTAAACAGCTTCTAGAACCCCCAATGTAAACAAAGATATAAAATAAATCCTCACCTGTCTTTCCTTCAACTCGTCAGGGCTCAAATCACCTCGACTAGCTTTGTTAATCTGCTCTACACATCTGTAAAATAATAGATCGAACCAATTATTTTAAGGTACTGCTGAAATAGGAACACAAAACCAGAAGCAGAAAGCCACAGACCTTCTAACGCCATCAAGCAATTCCTGGTTATTAGGATCATGTTTCAACCCCTCTTGGTATGTTTCTAAAGCTTTGTCATACTCCTTCATGAAGAACTGAATAGCACCCTTTCTTGTGTAACCCTTAGAAAAAGTTGGATCAAGCTCAATGCACTTCTCAGCATCCTTCAATCCCTCAGGCAATGCACCCAATTTTGTGTAGCATGCAGCTCTATTGCTGTATGCCTGACAAGACCAAAATGCATTTCAACAGTCAATAAGATACTACTTTTTGTGTCTTGATCACCAACAAACTCACAAAAACAGAATAAGACTTCTTACCTTGGGATCTTTTGGGTTTCTTTTCAATGACTCCGTATAATGCTTCACAGCCTCTGGAAACTTCTGCTGCTTGAAACATTCATTCCCTGCATATATATTTAAGCAGTCAGCAGAAGAACGTGATAGGGAATACTATTTTTGCTCACTCCAACATGAATATTACACATGAACTTAACCAAACTCAAATGAACAGGAGAGTAACCTAGGAAATACCAGTGTCCAGATAAAGCATAAACTAGTAACAAAATTAAAGAACCATCAAGGTGCCAGTAAAAATAAACAGAAACTGATAAAGAATACCTTTCTCACGCTCCTCATCAGCTATCTTTGGATCAAAATACTCTTGTTGCTCAAGTTCCTTCTTTGCCTTTTCTGCATCATTTAGTTTCTTCAACGTGTCCGGATTGCGATGCTCTGTAAGAGCTTTCTGGAAAGTCTCAATAGCTAGTTCATAATCTGTTGAACATTTCGCCATCTTCACCAAAGCAGTTCCCTTCCTTGTCAAGGCTCTTGCAATCATTTTAAAGTCTGATCGGAGCTCTCTACCTCTTTCAACAGCCTTGTCACAATCTTTAATGCATTCCTCATACTACATTCAACAAGGATAGCAGGCAAGAAAAAGATAGAGAAGTTAGATACACATATAATCAATTGTGAACTATAACCTCCACAGTAAGTTATTCTCCAAGCACAGAACAAACTACATCACATGATGTTGACAGAAAGATTACGGAGAGAATTCCCTTACTAGGTCCAAAATAAGGGGAACCAAAAAGCTAATAGCGATAATGAGTTCATATCCATGCCAAAGTTTCAAGTCTTATGAAAAGGTATTGGTAGGAAAGAAGAAAAAGAGGGAAAACCATAAAACACTTTTATTACCTACTGGAGGAAACCACAACTAGAACTCTCCCTAACACCCTCCTCCCATGTTGTCTTTTGAAGAATAAGAATGCAATATGATTTGGAATGCACATTAAATACCAACACAATTAAACAGATGATATACATTCTGAATGATTACGAACACCTGAAAGAACACTCACAATTATACAAAAATCATGTTCAGAGGAAATTCAATATATATTTTACAAACGTTAAACCATTATTAGAGTGCTTAAAAAAAACAGGGGTCCATCTAAGAGAAAAAGTGACCCAACAGTTAACATCATTCTAAAGCAATATGTAGCCATTATTATAGTATACACTAACATGAAACTAGCTCGAATTCCACTAATCTAGACAACCTTCATCTCGAAGTTCAACTAAAAACCAATTATAAAATTATAAAATCAACCACCAATTTCATCGTTTCATATTTTACAAATTTCATAGCAATAACTATATTGAAAGAGGAAAATTTAATAACTTTTAAACAAATAGAAATAAATAACCATACCTTGCCCATTTCCAAATAAACAGCAGCCCGATTGGTGATATACGAAATATCCTCATCATCAAGCTCCATTGCTTTCGTGTAATGCTGAATAGCCGTCTCAAAGTCCTTCCTCTTATATGCAGCATTTCCACCCTCCTTCTCCTTTAAAGCTTTCTCCTTCTTCTGTCGCTTTTCCTTCTCCTCTTCCATAATTTCCATCGGTTCTGGTTCCGGCTCAGGCTGTGGCTTCTTCGCCTCCTCCTTAGCGGGCTGTGAAGGTGGCGGAGGTGGTGGTGAATCCGCCTCTGGAATCTCCATGTCATCCCCACCACCTTGTGTCTTAAACTTAACATTCAATAAAACCCCCAAAGCTTGCATAACTCTCTGATCTTTCAAGTACTCATTCAATTTACTAGGATTTCTCTGAACATCCTGCATCGCCTTAACAAAGTCCGGCTGCTGTAAATAAACCCTAGTCGTCGGATCCGCCGTCAACTTCGCCCACATCTCAGGCCCCTGAAAAGCATCAGCAAAAGGATTAGGTGGCGGTGCTACCCTAGCTCGGGAAGCCGAAGCCGTCGCAGCCGATTGAGCATCAGCCAAGCCGGATTTCAGGGCTTCATTATTAGGATCAATCTCGAGACCCTTTTTATAGGCTGAAACTGCGTCCTGGTATTGGTGTAAACCGACGTGAGCCGCACCAAGCCTGCTGTAACCCTTGGACCAGTCCGGTTTAAGGTCTACGGTTTTTTTGGCATCGGATAATGCAGCCTCGTATTGATGAAGAGAAGCATAAGCTGCAGATCGGTTTGAGTAAAGAACGTGGTTAGTCGGGGAAAGGTTTATAGCTTCGGTGAAGTGTTTGATGGCTGTGTTGAAATCGCCGGAAGAAAAGGCAGCGTTGCCTTTGGCTTTGGCTTCGTCGGCCATGGTAGACGAATTTGTTAGCTTTGATTTGCTTTTGGGGGATGACTTGGATTTTGGGGTTTTAGGTATTAACAGATTGCAGGAATGTATCAGAAAAGGATTATAAAGACAGGGCAATTAGTGGAGCACACCAGAGACTTCTGGTGCTTCTGGAACCTTCTTCGGATTCTGAGTAGAATGCTTGGAGTAGGGGCTCTTTGGTCATGGGATAAATTGTTTCTGGAATTATCTAAACCCATGTTTGGGTATCCTATAATAATATTTCACACTACTTGGGGCCTAGCCTTCTTAGGTGTTTTTTTTTTTTTTTAATATCCAATGATTTGTGGTGCATTTACAATTTTGAAGACAAAAGCTGAGCGTTTGTGCTTCAGAATTTTGTTACATTTGTATCCAAAACTGATACATGAAATTTAGCATTAAAAGAAAAAAAAAAAAAAAAGGAAAAAGAAGAGTAATGTTGAGCTTTAAAATTATGTGTTCCTGGCTGTTGGGACGCTATGAAAAAAATAAATCAAGCAGCAACTTCTTGCCCTTTTGAAGCAAGCTCGTTCTGGATGTGTTGAGGGACAACATCAAACTTGGCCAATTGCATGGTGTATGATGCACGACCTTTTGTCATTCCTCGGAGAGTACTGACATACTGGAACATCTCCGCGAGCGGAACAAGGGCATTCACTACCTGCAGTTACCCAACACCAAACCATGAACAATAAGATTACAAGAAACATATTCTCCACCTCTAAACCAAAAGAAATTCCAGAGGAAATTTCCATTTGGTAAATCCAAGAGAACACAACAGTACATGCTCCAATTAACATGTAGTTCCTGCTCACTGGTACTTGCAAAGTGGTCTTAATGGATCTTTTCTAAGAATGCTCAGATTCGATAAAGGGACCATTCACACTCGTATTTTCCTTTTTTTTTTTTCCATTGGCAATGTATATGCACATTGTGACTAGAGAACAATTATTATCCTTCTGGTACAAAGTTTTAATCGTCCAAATATGAAAATGGGATTAGGCCATAAATTGCAATGGTCCAGACGTCAAAATGATACCAAATCTGGGTTGGTGCTGTCAAAGTTCTCTACCAACCAGGAGTTAATGATAAATATGCAGTTTGTCTGAGTATGTTACTATGTATATTACATGTTGAAAATAACAAATTTGAAAGCAACTTAAACAAGAAAGGACTATGTAATTAGGCATACCTCGAGCCCTCCAGGTTTATCACCAAAGCTGTTAATTTGGCCTCTACTTGAGTTAAGATCACCAATCACATCACCCAAGTGTTCTTCAGGTGTGACAACCTCAACTTTCATTATAGGTTCAAGCATCCTAGGGCCAGCCTTTCTAACCCCCTCTCTGAATGCTCCCCTGGCTGCCAGCTGAAATGCCAAGACACTTGAATCAACGTCATGGTAAGAACCATCTACTAGCACAGCACGTACATCAACAACAGGAAAGCCGGCAAGTACACCATTATTCATACACTCCTCCAGTCCCTTCATCACTCTAGGAACATATTCTTTTGGCACTGCTCCTCCCTTAATTTCACTCTTGAACTCATATCCCCTACCTGGCTCCATCAGCTCAAAACGTACAGTAATATCAGCGAACTGCCCCTGTCGACCCGACTGTTTCTTGTGCACATACTTTACTTCTGAAACTTTAGAAATGCTTTCACGGTAATTAACTTGAGGTGCACCGACATTTGCTTCTACCTACATGCACCAAGCAACCAAATTTATGACAATTAGAAGTTATCTGGATACCTACTTAAAATGCTTGGGGCAGAAGAAGTGTTAATTCTACTTAGGACAACTTCATCACACAGAACACTCTCTGCCCCATACACAGACAAGATGCTGAGAAAAGATCCAATTTTGCAAACAGTAATCTCTGAACAAATCAAAAGATTAGCATGAGTGCATGTGTATTTAATATTTATGCATCAGTACAGTCATTAAATGCACACAAAGCTGAGCTGGATGATTAAGGGTATTAATATGTTGCACAATTAGATGTTGCTACAAACCTTGAACTCTCTCTTCAGGCGATCAACAATGATCTCTAGGTGCATTTCTCCCATTCCTTCAATCACAGTTTGGTTGATCTCCTCATCCCGTGAGAAGTGGAAAGAAGGGTCTTCTTGAGCAAGCTTGATCAAACCATTAGCCATTTTATCAACATCAGCTTTAGTCTTGGGTTCAATAGCAATCTTAATCACAGGATCAGGGAAGTCCATCCGTTCAAGGACAATGGGATGGTCAGGGTCGCTGAGAGTTTCACCTGTAATGGTATCCTTTAAACCTGCAAGAGCAACAATATCACCAGCCAAAGCAACCTTAATATCCTCTCTACTGTTGGCGTGCATTTCCAAAAGTCTACCAATTCTCTCTTTCTTTCCTTTGTTTGCATTCAGCACATAAGATCCTGCGCTAAGCTTCCCTGAGTACACCTTGACAATCGTAAGGGATCCCACGAATGGATCAGTCATGATTTTGAAAGCTAGACCAGAAAATGGTTCATCAACACTTGTGGTCCTTTCAATTGTCACTTCAGGATTCTCAGGATCAGTCCCCATCATTGCTGGCAACTCAAGAGATGACGGCAAGTAATCCATAACGGCATCAAGTAATGGCTTAACTCTGTTATTTTTAAAAGCTGAGCCACTTTATACTGGCACAAAACTGCTTCCAATAGTGCCTTTCCTAATTAATTTCTTAATGGTTTCCTCATCAGGCTCAACTCCTTCTAGATAGTTCTCCCTAGCTTGATCATCTAATTCAACTATGCTTTCTATCATTTGTGACCGGTATTCTTCAGCCATCTCCTGAAGGTCAGCAGGAATATCAGCATACTCAAACTTTGCACCCAATTCTTCCCCTGACCAAAGCACAGCTTTCATCTTTACAACGTCAACCACTCCTTGAAAATTGTCTTTTGCACCAACTGGTATTTGAATCACAAGCGGTTTAGCACCCAAATTTGTTACTATCATGTCTCTTGTCCAGAAAAAGTTTGCTCCTAGACGATCCATCTTATTGACAAAGAAAATTCTGGGTACTCCATACTTATCAGCTTGCCTCCACACAGTTTCAGATTGTGGTTCAACACCAGCAACACTGTCAAACAAGCATATAACTCCATCTAGAACCCTGAGAGCTCGCTCCACTTCAAGTGTGAAGTCAACATGGCCAGGAGTATCAATAATATTAATCCGATGGTTTTTCCAAAATGTCGTAGTTGCAGCTGACGTTATGGTAATACCTCTTTCCTGCTCTTGCTCCATCCAGTCCATTGTAGCTGTATCCTCATGTACCTCACCAATTTTATAGTTTCTTAATGTGAAGTATAGAATACGTTCAGTTGTTGTGGTTTTTCCTGCATCTATGTGAGCCATAATTCCGATATTGCGATAATCTTTCAGTGGCACCACACGCTTTGTCTCTGTAAAAGCAACCAAAAAGATATCCATCTCAGAATGTCACAAGTAGCAAGAAATTTGTCCTAATATGTGGATTCTAATATTCTCTTCTGAATGTCCCTTAATGCTCTTGACCTAATAATAAAAACAAGAGTATTAACAAATGTGTATCAGAATGAAAAATTATCATTCATTTAATTGGAGTGTTCCTTGGCATTTGAGAAAGTAAATCATTTGCATTAACATGCTTTTTTCCATATATTTTGGATGATGGCTAAAACTTGGAAGTATTATGAGTTTTTTAAGCTCTAATAAACGATTTTTTTTTTGTAAAAAATAATGGAAAGGAAAAGGAAAAAAAATAATAGGAAACTAGAGACAAGTAGCAAAAAGAAAAAGCCTTTTGCTTAAAATTTCCCCAGAAAATGAACAATTTCAACCACATAACTTAAAAGGTAACCCAAATAGCAAGAAACACAGAAATAAAGGACATTTACCTTCGGCAGCCATAGCGAAGACAGAGAAGTTCCTTCTTTTCCCCTGTTGATGACGTGAAATGGGAAGTCTTGAGCCAATTCTGACACTTCCCAAAAAATGAGAGAGAGGAGGAAATTGAAGAAGAAGAAGAAGAAGAAGAAGAAGGCCGAGGAGGCAGATCCAGAAAACGAGTTGAAGAAGATAGAAGGGTTGGCCTCCTTTGAGACCCATTTAGATTACAAACTGTTGAACCCGAACCCGTTATTCTCAGCGCTGTCTCTGCTGCCATTTTCTTCTTTTACTAATTCTCAGTTCTCACTCTGCTTTTCTCTGTTTCCTCTTCTCCCTTTTTCCTTCTGGTTTTGTTTGGTTGTCGTGGTTAGAACTAAGCGGTTCTCATCAGTGTTAGCTTTGGTTGGGTTTTTCTTTTGTGTACTTTCGTTTTGGTCGTTTTCATGTGTTGATAATTTGGCATCAACCATAACAACCATTACAACTTTCCATTAATGGCAAAAAAAATTTTTGCTTGATAATTCATTATATTATAATTTAGTTATTTGGGAAAATTTTATTCAATCTCTCTGAGTAGTTGCTTAACCATGTTTTTAACAATTCAAGTTTTAAGTTATGAATATGTTAGACTAAATTCATATATAATAAAATTTAAAGATTTCAAATTTCATTTATTGCCATCAAGACACAAAGTCCAATGGCCATTTAAAATTAAGATTGAATTTGAGTCATTAAAAAATTTCCATGCAAAACATTGTTGTTATAGAATTTTAACCTATTCTGATATCAAATTTTGGTATTGGAGTCGATTCAATTTGTTTGACAAGTTGAACTTGAAATCTCAAAACCTAGTCGTAAGGTTAAGTAAAAATCATATCCACCAAAATAAAATGACCAATGAAGGCAAATGTGTAAAAGTTAAATTTGTATTGGTGGTAGAAGTTTCCAAAGAATGGAAGGACAATGTTCCAATTTGCCAATCTAGGGTTGAAAAATAATGGCCGTGAAGGTGCCACGTGTGTTAGAATTATATATCCGCATAAACCAGATGGTGGTGCAGGATTCCCGGGTGGACTTCTCTCAGCCTATCCATGCCTTCAAGTTTAAAATCCTCCACACTTGTTCATTAATTCGCACGATTCTAGACTTACTATTTTTTTTTTCATTTTTGGGTACCCTACCTAGTTTTTACTGGCTGGGCTTTTATGGGTCCTCGAAACGGAGCAACTGCCACTGCCCAAACCCTGTCAAAAAGATGAGCCACGTTTTGTTTAGATGATGGGTCCCCAGCAGAAATGTAGCTTCAAATCTAGTCTTCCGCCTTTTAGTCCAGTGGTTAAGAGGTTTGAGCGTGGGTTATAATTCTGTCCCCTTAAAGTTTTGGCCTCTAAAAAAAAAAAAACTCTAATTCAATTGGGTGTTCAACTTCAACCATAGTTTTTCATTGGCCAAAAAAATTATTAATGGTGGCTTATTTTGATCCTAAGAATCTATGTGAACATCCATTGACACGTCAAAAGCATAGGGCTTAGGCTTATGTGAATCCTTCATTTTATTCATATATAAGAGGGACATTGATTTGATCAGCTGGGGGCCATGGGACAGAAAAAAAGACAGCCGAAAACCATTCTCTCTATAAGTAGTGACAAAAAGCCTCAATTTTTCCCGAGAGGCAGATTGCTTTGGGCCTTCTGTTGTGATAAGTAGGACCATGGGAAACCAGGCTGAGCTTTGGGAATAGACTTGCACATGATTTCTTTCCTAGTTGTCTTTGTCAGCTGGGGGCTCTTGTTGCATTCAAAAGGAGAAGTGCAAAATTTGCCAGGCAGAGTAGATGGCATGAAACTCTGAGAAAGCATTACTACAATGAACTCCTGCCCTGTATTTAGCATGTTCTTTAAAAATTATCTAGGCTTATCAATATCCATAGAACATGTGTTCACCATCTAACCACCGCAGAAGCTGCACTGGCAATAGTTGCTTGAGACAAATCCTGAAAAATACTAGACCAAGGGAAGAAGTACAAAGTTGGCAGCTCCTCAAGGCAAAAACAAAGCAAATAAAACTCTTTAGCGTTAAGCATTAGTAGCCAGAGTGTTACAGCAATTAAAAATTACTCAAAAGTCGTGGATTGACAGCAAAACATGAGAAAATTGCATGCTAGTTGGGTGTCAAACCAGCTGTCAATGTGAGTCACCATGCAGTATTAGCTAGAACCATTAGAATAACAGCAAACTCTAAGCATTGTCATTTGCCTTTGTCAATATGTTGTTTGCATAACATGGAATACATTGACAGAAAATTTTAGTTGCATATTTTACATCTTGACAGCTAAACAACCTTAAATAAATGTACAACTTTCCATAACTGATAAATTGGATGCCATTAACTATGCATTTTCATACATATTGCAAGCCTTATTGCTAATCTCAATCAAACAGTCAAACATCAAGTTACTGAAGTAATTATCAATCAAAAAGCAAAAAATTCAGAAAGAAGAAAATCTGAAAAGGATGATTACTAGTGAGACAAGCAATTGCTTAGGAAATGAATTGTACATATGTTTTCAAGTGACAGGTTAATTTTTGGTGCCCGCATAGCGATTTACGAAAGCCAAGGTAAAGCTTGTCATGTATGCAACTTCCTCAATTACACTCTTCACATTGGCTTTGACATCCCCATCTATGGTATTCTCAGAGAAGCCATTCGTGCAGGTATCTTCATTAGTCGAAGCTGCACTCACCCATGTTTCTATATCACTCATTCGTAAAGCAAAGCTTTTGCCTTCAGTCTCATCCATTTCACCAATAGACCTTTTGATTTCATCAACTGAATCACTTATTTCTTCCACACAATCCTGAAGAGCTGCAGCCTCTCTAGGCTTTAGTCCCTGGCTTTTGGAGAGCTCGTTAAGGGTTTTCGAAGCAGAAAGCGTGGTGTTTAGTGTCAACCAGAGGGACTTGCCGGCTAATATTTTGGGACTGGCTTGGATTTCGCTTGCATAGCTAGAAAAGGTGCTGAAACACAAATCAGGGTAGATTGTGGCATCACACGAAATTTTGATGAACTCTGTATCTGTTTCAGAGTTGAGAATATTTCTAGCTTCTAAGCATAAGTTTAGGTGAGTCGCAAACAGGATGAGAACGAGGATAGCTACCATTGAAAAGTATGAACAAATTGCCATTTTCCTTTCTCTCTTTCTGTAGAAAAGCTGGAGAGATTGATGAATCTTGGGGAAGAGAGGGATCTTAATTTATAGAAAATCTCATGGCTGTGGTTCCCACAAAATGAGCTTGAGAAAGGAAGTGCTAGCAAATGAAGCCAATAATTTCAAGTTAAAATCGAACCGGTACAAAAGAAAGGTAGATTTTTGTGGACTGTGGTACGAAGTTTTTCTATTTAAAATGATTAAAAGACAAACTAAATCTTGTCATCTGAGTTGGTAAATATCGTTTCCAAATTCCAATTCTCATCAGATTTGATCTCCTTATTTTAGATGTTAAAATGGTTTTTTCATATACATACATGTAGAAAAAAGGGTTGGTTCTTGACTTATTGAACCCTAAAGAAAAATATTAAGCAATCTATGATAAATTAATTAGACGATGAAAACAGTATTTGAACCACTAATTATCATGCTGCCAGAACTTACTATCAATTAAAGTACGCTTTAAAAAAATTGTAAATGTTGAGAAGAAAGATATTTAATCCCCATGGACCCTCACCTGAAGATTGAGATACTTTGATGACAACACTAGTTAATATTTAAAAGAATTATGATAGCACATCCTACAATTTAATGAAGATTACAATTTTATATATGAAGGTAATGGGTGAATGCTATGGAGGAAGTGGGTCAGAAGAAGGGGTGGGAATCTTGAACTCTTCTTTCTTGGAGGTTGGAAAATCATATTGTGAGGGTAATGTCCCATTTTTGTTTGTGAAGAAATTAAATTATTCTAATTTGAAGGAAATTTTGCTACAAGAAGAGATCCCATAAATGGTGCATAGGCACATGCATAATAGAAGAAATTCCTTTGGGGATTGGTGATTTAGGAATATAAAACACATGGCAACAATAGATAGAACCCAAATTGACAAAAACAAAAATATACACTATGAAGAACTTGGACAAAATCAAACTCCTTCAGTTCTTGTTCATCTTGTGGATGGTCTAAAAGTGGGTTTTTTTTTCCCTAAATTGGAAGTTTAATTTAAAGCATGCAAATAGTTTTACTATGTTGTTGTTTAAAAAAAAAAAGTCAAGGGACCCAAAAGAAGACAAGGAATTATTAGTAAAAAGAAAAGAATCTTTTAAACGTTGATTGATAAAACTCTTTCTTTTTTTTTCTCTTTTTTTTTTTGGTGGCAGAACCGCATGAGCCTTAAATTAATGTTAGGGCATGTGAATATTCTATGAAAAATATTTTTTGAGGAATAAGAATTTAATTCATTTTATTTATATAATTATTTTTAAAAAGTAATATCAACTATCAAGGAATTATATGATTTAAATTCCAGTATTTATAATTTTTTCAATCCTCATAATACTAATTTAAAAAAAAAAAATGTAAGTCCAAACATAGTTTAAATTAATGTTAATTTGCAGTATGCTCATATTGGCCTCATCAAATCAAGAATCTGTCTCTGTCTCTCTCATGACCTGTCACAACTAAGTAACAAGTAAATTAGGATCACCAATCGTTTAGATTATATCAGTTATCATGTCGGCTTGAGATTTTGACAAGTTCCTTAATGTTTCAAATTCGACAAAATCATCTAACAAGCCTATATGAAACGATCTTTTCTGATGGGTACCGTGAGCTTATTTGACTTGTTAACTTGCGTGCGGGGAACCATTGTATTCAACTTTAGCGTCACGCTTCTTCCTCTATCCAGTCATGCTCTCCTTGATTAATGATCAAAGTTCATCATTAATGCCTATGAAGGTGAAGTCTCTATCTAACCAAAAATTTTAGCTACCTCTTCACTTTCAATCAACTTAAGCTTGATTTGGATCAACAGTTGTGGAAGGTGGAATCACATCAAGGATTCGCAGCTACATGGATCCAACTGAACTGATGGGTTTTGCAGCAAGAGGCTTGTTTATGAAATGCAGACCAAAGGAAAGTTCTGTTAGCATTAGTGACATAGGCCCACAGAGGGCTTGGGAACAGGTTTTGGAAGCTAATTTGTTACAACAATGGAATACCTGCTAACATATACGGGTGGAATATGTACTACGCAAAGCTTAAGAACCTTTTATAGCTAAACAAAAAGAATATGTTATCTGTAAATAAAAAAATTTTGATATTCAATGGTTCGGTTAAACAGCATTTTTGGTCTATGCATTATAGCTGATGTTAGTCCGCTTTAAAACGACAGCGTTCTTGCATGCTAATACTATTAGTCTGCGACGTCGGTGGAAAAGATTTTTATTTTTTATTTTTTTTGGTTTCTTCTCTCTCTTGTCTCACAAAACAGAAAAGCCGCAATTGTCGATTTTGTTTTCTATTTTCTGATCGATCAGTTTGATGAATTAGTTCTACTCTCTATCTATTTGGATCAACTAATTTGAGTTTCAATTTTTCTTCCTGTTTTTTTTTCTCTCTTTTTTTTTTTCAGATTTAAAATCAGTTTTCAATGATGATGACGTGTAAATTATTTTATATAAATTAATTTCAATAATTTTTAATAGTTTATTAATTTCATTAATATCAATATATACTATAAACTTCATTATAAAAGTTTTAATTTAATGTCTTTAAATAGTTTTTTTTTTTTGTTATACTTTATCTCATCACTATTATTGTATTTATATTTAAATACATATTTTACAACTTATTTTAATTTTATTGTTATAATATCTAATTTTATTGTTACATTAATTATTTTATTTTTATTATTATTTTAATTTTACCGAAGTGAATCTCATTACTTATTCAAATGAATTCTTTATTTTTAAAGAATTTTGATCAATGTTTTAATAATCAGACAAAAAATTAAACTAATTGATATCTAATTTCTGATTTAATCGATCAATTTAATTATAGTTTAGATACATTATTCGTTATTAAATGTATATTAAATATGATAATTATATATTTAACAAATAAATACATCTGACTTGATGACTAATATTTTAATGAAAATCTAAAATAGCAAGGGGTTTGGGTTCATGAAATCTTATATTTCATTAGGTATCAGGATTCTCTACTACAAAATTTACTAAGACATATTTTCAGTAATCTATCATGTATGTGTTTGGTTCACTTCACCTTCATATAAGATTGTCACGTTTCATTTAAAATTCAAATGAATTCGACACAATTTATAACAGATTAAGATTGAATAATTACAAATTTGTAGTAAAAAAAAGTTCTATACATTATTATTATTATTATTTTAAATGAAGCCCAAAAGCAGAAGACACCAAAGCAAGTGTAGCTAACAAAGCAAATAAATAGAACAAACTGTTCAAGGCAAAACCCTTAAATAATCAAGTTGCCTGATTAATTAAAAAGTATGAGTGGCAGCATAGCGATTGATGAAAGCCAAGGTAATGCTTGTCATATGTGCAACTTTCACAATTAGTCCCTAACAGTAGTTTTGAGATTCTCATTCGGGGTCCAAGGGAAGCCATCCATGCAAGTATCCTCATCAGTCATAGCTGCGCTCACCCATGTTTGTATATCCCTCATTCGAAGCCCAAACTTTTGCCTTCACCGGATTCCATTTCACCAATCGCCATTTTCAGCTCATCGACTGAGTCCTTTAGTTCTTCCTCACAATGACTTTGGGACAGTTTTATGATGGCTGTTGAAGTTGAACTCGTGGCGTTAAGCGCGACCGAGAGCGCAGTGCCGGCTAACAACCTGGGACTGCCTTGGATTTTGGATGCATATCGGGAGAATGTGGTAAAACACAGGACGGGGTCGGTCGTGGTACTGCATGAGGTTCTGATGAACTCGGTGTTTGGTTCGGTAGTAGGGATTTTTCTAGCTGCTAAACTCGAGTTTAGGAGAGTTGCGAACTGAATGAGTATGATCAGAAGAGCTGCTCTCGATGACACTGAAGGGCAGAATCTTCCCATCCCTCTGCCTCTTTCTAAGCAATTGGGAGTTTCTGATGACTCAATGGAAGAGAAAGAACTAAATTTTATAAACACCAGCGACTACCATCGTTCCAAAACAAAGAGCTCTATTATTAGATAATATTAAACTAATTAAATTTTATCCATATTAATTTGGTCTGTTGAAACCAATAATTGGGAAATTAAATAGTTAATTTGAAGTTCTGCCAGCGTATATATCCTAATTAAGCACGATGAATTCAGCCTTTTTTTTTTAAAAATGGATAGATCGATTCTGATAAAGCTAATGCTTAAAGAAATTAATGTAGTTTTGTGAGTGTATGTTTGGATTGGTGATCTTTCATCCAAAAATACCTAAAAAATAGCTGGAAACGTGCTTAATTAGGGAGAATGATGTAAAAATAGTGTTTCATTATTAGAGAGAAAGAGTATTGTTTTCCCTATACCGTGCAAAAATACTAAAATAGAATGATGTGAACGGGTGATTGCAATTTGCGACACATTAATTCTTTTGTGGGTGTCTTGTTTGCTAATTTATACGTATAAAAGACATGAAACATATTAATGAAAGATGAAGAGTTTCATAATTGACTTTCTTTGAGCCAACAATTAAAGTTCATACATGATTACATGAAAATTTTGGTTAAATTTCATGTATAATTAATAATTTAATAAAAGGATCGTTGAATTTAATAATACAATCATATTTGTTTTATACATAAAATTTCAAATCATTCTAACATTTCTGTCACATTGATCAAAAATATTGTATTTTTTAAATATATATTTAATGATTAAAATTTTTCTACATCAAACAAATATATAGTTAAACCTTTTAAATTAACTTAAAATTTAATGTGTATAATCTATATGAATAGTGTGGCTCTTCCCTATTATTTTTTTTTATCTATTACTTTTCAACAATACATTCATCAACACTATTTATAAACATGACCTTCACAATTGATAAGTGGATGAATGATCTTGATAAATGTATTAAAAATAATAAAAAAATAACGGAGAGGAGCTAAACCCATGAAATACATTAACAATATTTTTTTTTTTTTTGAAAATCCAACAATAGTATTAAATAAATATAAATTGTCTCAAAATATATAAAATAATGTAATTAGTTCTGCGATAATATAAATAAATCTCTCCTCGAATTGTAAGTCAATAGTATAAAAAATACACAGCACAACCAAATTTTTTTGTGAATAAATTGTAAATCTTATTAATCTTCCAGGATAGTACAAAAAGACTAAAGCATCTCAATGTAATAGACACTCCAATGTCACCAAAAAAAGAAAATAAAAGAAGCTGCCTGCTGCCAACAACAAAGTGACTTGACTTTGGTATTTCTCCAACATTTTGGCTTACCCTGTCAAGTCCTAAACACAAGTTATTGTACTAAAACAGTAAAACTTCCCATTTGTGTATGATAAACTCAATTATTCTTTGCACTCCCAAAAGTACACCTGCAAATTTAGCTCAAAAATTCAATTTACTTGAGCGAAAAGATTCAGAACATTAATTTGCAAAATCCAAGCTAGGTTGCCAGCCAAAAACAAATGAATATAGGAATAATACAAACTGTAAAGGCAAGACGTCACTCAAGATTGTGCAAGACATCGTAGCTATGATTAATGAGGGGGAGCTGCAGCATAGCGGTCGACAAAATCCAAAGCAATGCTTGTTAAACGTGCTACCTTGACTATTCTTCTTCTCACATTAGTCTTGAAATTACGCTTCCTGCATTTCCCAGAGAAGCCATCCATGCATGTATCATCATTAGTCAAAGCTGCACTCACCCATGTTTGTATATCACTCATTAGACGATGAAAATCGTTGTCCCCAGGCTGACTTATTTCCTTAATTGAGTCTTTAAGCTCATCAACAGAGTCCCCTATTTGTTCCACGCAATCACGCAGGGCTGCAGCCTCTCTACGCTTTAGGCCATGGTGTTTGGAGAGATTTATCATTGTTTTCGTAGTAGAACGAGTGGTGTTGAATGCCACAGACAGGGCAGTGGTGGCTAACAATCTGGGACTACCTCGGATTCTGGTTGCATATCTAGAGAAAGTGGTGAAACACAAGTTAGGATAGAGGGTGTTACGGCAGGAGGTTCTGATAAATTGAGTGTTTCTTCCACTAGGAGGAATTGGTGTAGCTTCTAAACATAAGTTCAGATTAATTGCGAGACGAATGAGGATGACAAGAGCAGTTATTGAAATGTAAGAACCTGCTGCTGCCATCTTTCTCTTGGTAGAAGCTCAAGAGAGAAGCTTGGGAACCTGTCGATGGATACAGATTGCAATTTATAGAAAAAGCTGATCATGTGCCGGCTGTGAATGTGATTCCCACAGAAAGTGTCAGAAATTAATATTGTTGGTAACAAAAACTTGGAGTTTGCCTTATTTTAGAAATTAGTGTAATTTTTTCATCACCTGGACATTTAATCAGGAAAAATATGTTGGACATCTGCTTATTGACCCTACATAATTATTGAAGATACATTTTAAAATCAATCAAAGACAGATAGACAATGAAAACATCGCCTGATCCTCTAATAAAAATTGCAGGATTGAAACAAAAAATGTGGGTTTCCTCTGTCTCATAGGAGAGAATTTATATTTTAACCTGAAGCAAATTTGGCATAGAGAATGAACGTGCTTTCACAACATCCCTAGTGCCAACAACAACAATATCGTCAATGGCCTGCATATTCTGCTGTAAGATCTCTACACCAAACCAGAATCTCGAATACAGCTGATCACTCTAACCGTCTGCACAAGTTTCAAATCACCAAAACAAATAGCATTATCGACAAAATTCAAACCCAAGGTAGACACTAAGGGTAATTAGTTAATTCAATTAAGAGAATAATGAAAAATAATGGTCATGCAGTATAAAGAAAGGCAGTTAGTGCAGACGATGTTCATCAATGCGAGGATGGAGTTATCAAAAATATCACTGATATATAAATAAATATATATATATATATGACAATCCATGGGTTGTGTTTATTTAGCTTAGGAAACTGACTTGTTTCAGCCAAGGGGCAGTTTGGTTCTTCAAAAGTCACAGGAAGATAAGAGTAGTAAACTAGACATCTACATTTGGGCTGCGCTTGTTTGAGTTTCTTTAGAAAATATAAAAAGAAGAAATATATGACCCACAATAGTCAAGGTCAGGCCGAGGCCCAGACCCAATACTGACCCAAAGTACATAGAGATTGCATAATTTGACATTACATGAATTTAGAATTGAATCCAATTCACAATGAAAAAAACTTAAATTCGTATATGCAAACAAAAGATAGAAAAACACACACACACACACACTTGAATATGCACAAAAATAACTCCAGAGAAAAGGTAAAAACCCAGTTTTATACAGAATAGGATTATTAATAACAGTTCAAATTGTAAAGAACGATTAATTGGAAGCAATCATGTATAAGTTGCTTCCATTATTCTCAAATATGTATGCCTTAATAATATTTCCAAGAAGCAAATTAAGGTGAATTCTTCTCAGCCAAGGCAAAGCTCTTAACAAGTGCTAATGCATTGCTTGTCAAATGGGCAACTTTAATAATGCGTCTCCTCACTCCATTCTTCACCCTATGTTTGATGGCCTTATTAGCCAATGCATTCATACATGTCTCCTCTTCCTCCAACGCTGTGTTCACCCACATTTGAATATCGTTCATTTGAACCCGAAGATGATCAGAGCCTTCGGTACGGTCCATCTCCTTTGTAGACTTCTGCAACTTCTGCACTGCGTCACTTACATCTTCAACACAATCTATCATGGCTGCAGCTTCATTACGTCTCAACCCATGGAATGTTGACATATCTCTTAGCAACCTTGAAGTTGCTTTGGCCGCAAAAAATGTCGCGTTGAGAGCCGCATGGGCTAATAGCTTGGGGTTGCCTTGGATTTTGCTTGCATGGTGAGCCAGAGATTTATAGCACAACTTGGGATAAGTTGTAGCACTGCAAGAATTTTTTATATACTCTTTGTTTCTATGGTGACTTAAATGAGATTTTGTAGTGGCTGAGCATGTGTTAAAGTAGGAGGACAATTGCAGAAGAATAAGCAGAATTATTAATGCATGGATTGAAAATGTTCTTGCCATCTCTCTATTTTTTGTGTATTTGTTGGGTAGTTCAATGAATTTGGAGAGGGAAGACAAAACCCCAATTTATAGAAAATCATTTGGGTTTTCCTTATGGGGGCAGGCCTGTTTCAGAATATACTAGTGATAAAGATGATATGATAGCATTAATGATTCCAGAAATCAAAATTTTATACCTCTACAATGTCTATCCCAATCCTGATTTAAGCTCTGTTCATGGGAAAAGTTAATACATATTTATTTGCATATCAAATTGCAGAAAAGGATTTACAGCTCCATTTTTATTATTATTGAAAACAAAATATTAATTGAATTCTATTTTATATGATGTTACAAGTGCGAAATGCAAAGCATGTGTCTCTTCACTAGTTTTCTTTCATTAAATCCTAACAAGCACAATTGCTGGTTGATTTTGATCTGGCTCTGCCCAGATCAAAAAATTTCTACTCTTTAGCCTTCATTTTAACCAGATAATTCAAGTATCCCAAGAAATTATTGTAATGATTTTGTGTTCTGTTTAGCCAGAGCATATCTGATCTCTTCCCTACAAGAAAAAAGGAGGCAAATAAGGCTGCAATTTTGTTACATGAAAGAGGAACCAAATGTCATGTCACTCAAATATGAATTATGAGAAATGTCAAGTCATTCGAATTTGAATTATAAATAGCACTGGTTGGCTTTAAAAGCATGAGAATCCATGTCTCCATCAGTCCTGCCTAGCTTTAATGGCCTGACTGGACCCGCAATATGATATTTCATGAGAGCACAAAAATATCTTCTGCAATTTCTAAGCTAATAAATTTTTATTCAAAGATCAATCTGGGTAATGAAACATGTTCAAATTTTTATTAATACTCGTGATTTATCAGTTATCCTTTGCTTGGACCATGCCTTTGGGGTGTAATTTTGGATAAAAATATAAAACTTGAGTTGAAATGTTTTGAACTTGTATTCAAACAAACTAGATGATCCACAAACAACGATTTCCACGCGGCGTGTAACAGCAAAAACATGAAATCCAAATCAATCACTTTTAGGTATAAATTAAATATCATATCTGTCATAAAACAGGATTTGACAAGAAGCATCCCCAAAATCTTGACGATTCATGGCCAAAATAATTTCAAGATAATAAAAGGAAGAAAAAAAGAGTCTGCCGATTATTGGTTGGTGTAAATTGTGGCTTGTATATTTTTAATCCAACCATAATTGAAAATTTTGAGGTGGGAAAGGAGATTGAAAGCAAACCTTGATTTACAATTTGAGATTATAGTACATTTCCGCAGCAGTCCACACTCTAAAAATTTCATATTCCTTTGATACAAACTACAGAAATCAAGAAACAAATAAATACTGTTCACAACACGATCTGCAATCTCCTTCTATCTTACAACTCTACCAGCTTTATCCTCAAAATTCACTTTGGGACAAATTTTTGCTCATTGCCCCGCTTGGAAAGCATACAACTCCCATAGTAAATTGAACATGAAGCATCATTACAGGTGCATAATTCTAAAGCAGCCTAAGATAAATCATGTACATAACATGTACTTATCTTCACTCTGTTACTATAAGAAATCCAAATAAGGAGAAAGAAAACTACGGCTTCATTAAGGTAAGTTACTTTGAGTTGACGCATAGTTGCTGATGAGAGCCAGGGCATTGCTTGTCAAATGTGCAATTCTAACAATACGTTTTCTGACCATAGTCTTTGCATATCCATTCGTGGCATTGCCTGCAAATCCTTCCATGCAAGTATCTTCATCTGTCAGCGCTGCGCTAACCCAGGTTTGAACATCACTCATTGTGAGGGAAAAATTTGAGCGACTAATGTGACCAAGTTCCCCTATAGACTGTTGCAGCTCATCAACAGAATCACCAATTACCTCAATGCAATCTGCCATGGCTGCAGCTACCCTAGGCCTCAAACCATGGATTCTTGAGATCTTTATCATCAACCTTGAAGTTGATTTGCTGGCTTTGAGGGTTACATTGAGGGCAGTATGGATTAACAATCGGGGGCTGGTGTTTATTTTGCTTGCATAGATTGAGAGGGAGCGGTAGCACAATCTGGGATAAGCTGTGGTGCTGCATGAAGTCTTGATGTATTCAATGTTTCTTTGGTTGCGAAATGGTGGATAAGTTAAGCTTAAGGCTATGTATGTAGAGAATTGAAGGATAATGAGCAGGATTGCCAGTCCATGAAAGCGTATAGATGAACCTTCCATTTGTCTCTCTAATTTCTCAGGATTGGTAAGAAAGTTAAGAGTAAAATTTTATGATTTTAGTAAGGGAAAGAACGGTTGATTTATAGACAACCTGAAGTTTTGTGGTTCCCACAAATTAGGAAGGGAAAGCCTGATTTTAAGGGGGGAATAAAAAACTATCGTGGGTAGAAAGCATAGGCATGAAAAGATTCTGATAAAACAATCAATACTAGTGTATAATTGTAACTATAATCTTAACAGCTATGCTAAAAAGTGCAGGGAGTGATTCAATTGTCTAAGATATAAGAACTGGTTTTCTTGTTTAATCCTAGGTTTAAGGTGCCCCTGTTCAAAAATGAAGAAAAAATCCTGCTTTAAGGAAAACTGAAGCACTGGCGAATTTCAGGTTTGTGTCAATTTTCAAAGTGTTGTCAATGGTCTAACGTAACCATTTTCAGATATCTAGTATATTACTTTCTGAGTTTTGGCTTCATCACCGCAGGAGTATAAGGAACAAAGGAAATTTGAAACATTTGAACCCATCAAATACTTCTCTGAAGTTTGAACATTGAGTAAAATTTTCAAATTATTAGGTAAACAAAGTAAAAGTGACCCATGAAAAAAATCTGGTTCAAGAACTGTTGAGCAGACACATGGCAAACATATGGCCGACAGTCAAGCAACAAATTATTATGCAGATAAACATTTAGTTCAAACCCAAATGAATCTAGTGAGAGTGAATTGAGCAAAAGTTCATGTATAATATTGGAACATAATTAAAATCTCCTGATTTTTGGCAAGGATTTGATGAAGCTTGCCTCTCATCCTCAAACCAAAGTCCTAGCATCACCTCTGAATTTATGAGGTGGTAGTTTCTAACTTGATCCTCCACATCGCCCATGTTAGTAAATTTAAAAAAAAAAAAACAGAAATAGTAAGGAAGAAAAAAATATAATTTTGAGGCATGAATAATATTATTTTAAAAATAATTATATTTATAAGATACAATAAAATTTTAAAATTTTTTAGATCAAAAGTAAATGAAATTGATCAGATAAAAAATTTTATTTATAATAAACGAACAGTTACTGATCAAATTAATTTAAAAAATCATGATATTTTATATAATCATATTTTATTGACAGTCATATTTTTCATTGTTTAAATATATTTATTTAAAATCAGTAATATTTCTAATTAAATAAAAATAATAATAATAATAAATAAATTTAAAAATTAAATCTATTTATAAAACAAATTTAAGTGATCAAAATGTTCAAATATTTATTTTTAACTTTTAAAATTATCTGACTCATTAAAAAATTTCTAATAAACTCAAATAATTTGATCCACTCAAATACTTAATTTAATTATTTAAATAACATAAATAATTTTTTTAAATCATATATAAATAATTTTTTTACTCATATAAGACCCATTATATTTTAAATTACCAATTCAATACCGTAAATCAGCGATCAGCTCGAAAAAAATTTTCAATCTAGTCTAGGAGATAGGCTGCCCCCATCATGTCACCACCAAGCGTTTTTTTATTTATTTTTGGAAAACCATCTAGTGTTAGCTTAAACAATGATAAAATCAAGGAAAAAAACAAACATTGTATTAATGGAATAGGGAAGTGGACTAACATGCCAATTGTCTTATTACCCTCCCAATCTTTTTCTGAGTTTGTGGAATTAAAAAGCCCCTAGACCAAACTGTGATTTGATTTGTTATTGCATATCGATCACATGCCTTGATAGCTATTTTTAAGAGAAAATTACTAATGAATTTGGGTATTTTCCAGAATATAATTGAGTGCATCCCATTATTGAGGATGTAGAATATGCTAATGCATTTACAAGAAGAGAGGGAAAAGGTTACGAGATGAGGGCAGAGGAACCCGAGTGATGTCTCCAAAAGCACATCAAAATTTGTCCAGGTTGGTTTCACAAAAACTTTAGAGATTCCATGTCTAGATTTTATTAACACTTTAAAAACGAAAAATTAAAAGGAGATTTCTGTCAGCTTTGCCCAAGGAGGAGGTCTTCAAATTCGTGGCTAAAAATCAGTGGCAGAGCAACAGCATTACTATATTAGAGTGGGGGCAATTTGTCCCACTGGATTTGAAAACAAAACCTGTTTCATGTCTAAATAACTGTAGTTGGTGGGAACGGTTTAATTCTTTGCACTCCATCTGACGATTGCTTGAAGCTTTGAAGTTTATCATGTTTCAAAAAAGTGATTTCAACCATTTGAAATCCGATTAAATCTTCATTCAATTGATTTTAGTTTAAATTATTGTCTTAAAATTTAAGAAATTCTACTTTTCATGTCAGTCTCATCCTTAAAGATTTGCTTTGGATGATTCAAAGACTGAGCTTTCATGATACGTCTGACTGCTTAAGAGTGACGTGAGAAGAAGAGATAAGCTTTAAACACTACAATTATAAAGAGAGAACCATAAAAGAGAAAGGAAAAAAAAAGATGCTTTGGACCTTTCAACGTTGAAGATTTGCGTTAATTTGCCATCGTTAGCGTGAAAAAAATAGAAAAGGATTTGCGCTAATGACGTGCAAAATTAATAAAGAATTGGGTCGCCTGCGGGTAAAGCGAGTCTAAATCTGTCAAAAGGAAAATAAAATAAAATACTAGTAATCATATAAAGTTGGGTTCTGGTCGTTTAACCTTTCTTTAATGAGTCCAGTCCACCGTTGATTCTGGCCCCGGCCGTCCCTGCTTTTCTTCTCTTTCTGCTTAGCCTCAAAGTTAGGTTCTGTTCGTTTAAAGAGATTTCCAACTATATAATGCAAAATAATAGTAATAGTAATAATAACAGCCCAACTTGTCATTATACGTATAAAATAATAATTTTAAATACCCATGGATTTTTTTTTTTTAAATTACTGAAACCAGAACACAATTTGCACATATATGTATGCAGTCGTTTTCTTCCATCGTTCCATTCTTATTGTATTTATCTCTTCTTCGAGGGCAGCAAGAAATCAAAGCGTCAATCGGCCATATCGAAGTGGTATGATTTCACATGCAACACGCAACAAAACAGCGGAAATTAATGCTACGTTTAGGGACAGTACTTACTCTAGCCATGTCTTTAAGCCAAGAGAAGTGACAGTAAACTGATCTGATTAACCAAAATAATTCACAAGTCACAATCTTAGAAAGTTCTTCTGCATTTCTAACCTGTACTGGGGTCTCGTCCCGGTCTGTTGATGCCTCTGTTTTGTTTCTTTCCTGGAGAGGACTTTACTGTTTTTTTTTTCTCTGTTTTGTCCTGTGGGGTTGGCTTTATCGCTTTGCTATTTGCTAGCTGGGCTGAATCCGTTCCAGCTTTGGACCTTCTAGTACAACTTTGCTTTCCTTTACTTAACTTTTTTTTTTTTTTCAAGACTTAACTCTTTCAAATTAACGAAATCTCATATGGGTAGGGACAGATTTATGGAAGGTTACAATATTTTTTGATGGAAAAGAAAGGGTTCATTTACGCTAAATTCTATTATACAGAATATAGAACTTTACTATCATACAAGGCGAGGAGTTTTCTTTTTTTTAGCATAGATTTGGACTCGTTATATGATATTGTTACGTTACATGCAATCCAAGCAGGCCGAGACCCTTTTAGACGAACTCCAAACTGTCACAGACTTACTTAAAGACACCAATAACGCTTTTATACATAAACCAGATATTCTCCAGGTTCAATCTAAGGCTTTTCATTAGGTGCAGCAGCTCGGTGTCTTGCTGCAAAGCGATTTACTAATGCAAGCGCATTGCTAGTAACTTGAGCAACATTGACGACCCTGCGCCTTATTGCAACCTTGATGTTTCCATCCATGACGTGGCCTGCGAAGCCATCAAGGCAAGTATTTTCATCTGTTAGTGCAGCACTGACCCATGTCTGCACGTTGCTCATGTGCCACATGAAGTCCTGACCAACAGCTCGTCCCATATGGCTGAGTTCCTTGACTGACTGGCTAAGTCTGTCTACACTATCACCCATGTTTTCTACGCAGTCTTTCACAGCTTGACGCTCTCTAGGCTTGATGCCCCTTACTTGAGTCATCTTGGCAACAAAAGCTGCGGCTGACTGAGCCCTGGAAAGGCTGACTGATAAGGCAGTTTGAGCGAGGTGTTGCTCATTTTGTTGAATTGCTCTAGCATAACCTGAAAGGCATTGGACACATAACGCAGGATACCTTGTGGCTTTGCAGGATGCCACGATGTAGTCTGTTGGGCTTGAATTTCTGGTAGAAGCAGATGCAGCTATGCCTGCCATGTAAAGGGCAAAGGAGAAAACTAGTGCCAAAATGCCCAGTCTTGCCATTTCTTTGAAGGAGAAGAGATAACTGAAGAGGGTGTTGATGAAATGAATAGAATATGGGAATTTATTTACACAGAATCCAAAATCTTGTTCCCTATCTTCTTTTTGGATTAAATAAAATGTGTCGCATGCTTTCTTTCCCTTGGCTTCTTCCTCCTCTAAACTGCTTTTTCATATTCTCCTTTTGCGGTGATTGTTTATTATTTTTCATTCTGTTAGGTGACAAGCCATAATTGGCCAAATCTTCTTTTGTTTTGCTTTTAACAGCAGGATACAATTTGAATAGTTTTGGGATAAAAGCACAATAGCACGGAATTTAGCGATCAAGCAGTGATGAGGGTTGAAATGTGCTGGTCAATGTTTTGTTGATCTAACGCACCAAGATCAAAACAAAGGAATATACATTTGGATGGTCTTGATCAAGCAAATATCATAAACTACCATTTAGAACATTTCAACAAACCTGCATCGAACCACAGTGAAGGATGGGTGTAAAAGTTGAGGAACATGGAGAATAATATTCCCCAAACAGAGATCGTCCCCACGAGCTTGCACTCTCTACAAAGCTAAGCGTATGAGTGCAGAAGCTGATAAATGGATGGTTCTAGATTACTTTAGGTGACAATATTATTACCCGTCGACTCGTTTTTCAAGTTTAGCTAGCAAGATTTCAAGTGAACCCCAAAGCTTCCCTCGATATATGAGCATATGAAATCACCTAAAGACTCCAACTAGCCAATATATTATTCCAACCACTGTGCAGTTTCCAGGACTTTCTTTTTCATTTTCATATAATGTGAAGATATTTATTACTAGTATATTATTATTTGCTAATACCAAATAACTCTGTTCTAATTCATAATCGATTCATTTGACGTGAGTCCATCTTCAAGTAATTTGAATGACGAATCATTTCCCTCTCTTGTTTGAGAAACAACAAAATTCTTGTATAAACTCTAATTGCAAACCATGTCTTTGTACATTTAAAGTACTAACCTGATTTAAGAACAATACCTTAGTCTATGGAAGTACAGTGAAGTATATTTAGACATGTGTATACTATAACGTCAAATACTTGAGAACAGCTCCACGAACCTTTTCCATGAAAGCTGCTGCTTGTTTCTGCATGTTCAAAATAAACGATTGACCTAAATTATAGGAGTTCAGTCTGAGTTCGAAGCAGTTACTAGCATGGTAATAGATTATAAATACATGGTGCACATTTTTTATCAAAGTTTTAGGAGAAGCCCAATTAAAATTTTCACGGTTGCTAAGAGGTCACACCAAAGCAACAGAAGATATCAACTGAAAACACATTGAATGAGAGTCATGAGACAAATGGATATAAAATAACAGATATATAGAGAAAATAAAAGAACGCTGATTGCATGAATGTTTTGCATGAACAACTCTGGTCTATGTAGTTGGCTACTCATCAAACAAATAACTACAAGTGCTAATCTTAATTCAGTTAGGTTTTCAAGAAAACTTAAGAAATATCATTTCAGATATTTTATAGAGGTTATAAAGAGGGGATGCAACACTCTTCTTGTTGAATAAAGACACAAAAGAAGGCCAAAGAGTCGATTTTCCTTTTTGAAGAGAGATGCTGAACCAAGAAGAAAATTGTTAGAAGATGAGCTAGAGTGAGATACAAAGAAATGGAAAAAAAAATTAAATTATGCATGTATGCAGGTAAGTACAGAATCTTGAGGACAATGCTAACCTGGTTACCCATGTGTGCATTTGCTATGTTTTCATCAAGAAGTGTCAATAAGGATCTATTTAGTTCATTGCGTTCCACCATCTCGAACAACTGCATGGCAACACAAAAACTTAGCTGACCTGCATAAAACTAGAAATATAGAAGGGTCTCAACGAGTGGAAACATACAGTTGTTTTTATATCCTTTGATGTCAAAATTTTGGTAAGGCTTTGCTTTGCAGTTATTAGGTCTGCTTGCATTTTATCAAATGCTTCTGTGATCAAAGGACCAAGGATCATTAGTAAAAAGGAACAACACATTAACTCTTTAACCATAGGTTGTATGGTCGAAAAACATACCTGTGCCTTCTTGTAAGGCCTTCTGTAATGCCTCCAACTCAATCAATCTGTCCTCCATATCCTACAAAATTTACCAGCTCTTACATTTCCAATTCCCTGAGGTTAGATAAATAGAGGATTATCACAAACATAAAAGTGTTTTAGAACAAACCTCGGTCTTTGAAACAGCAAACCGAATCTGCCCTATCTCAAATTTGAGGTGGGAGAAAAATTCCTCATTCAATCTACATAGTTTGCAAATAAAGTTGGTGTTTTAAGTCAAGGCTTATAGTAAATGGCAATGAAGGGAATAAAATGCAAAGCAGCATTCAACTAAGAAATCCTAAAAGACTAAACTTCTCAATAAAATTCAATTGTTTTAACACAATTCAATATCAAAGGAAGCAAAATAGCAAACAACTAATATGCAATTTCAAGAAACAAGGATTTAACATTTTTTTCATACAAAATTAAAGTACAAACCGCTGCCTTAATCTTGCAATCTCAAACTCAATCTCCTGAGCTTCAGTGTCAAGAAAATATTCAATCAACTCCCCTGGAGTATCGGGTATTTCCCTGGACTAATAATAAACCACAAGAAAAAAATAAAAATACAACCCAAAAAAGAAAACTAACTGAATAAACAGTAGTATTCCATGAAGAACACTTTAGTAAAATAATTGTACTTGGCGAAGAGCTTGGCGACGCTCTTTTTCTTGGCGTAAATGCTGCTCAAATGCTTCTCGAGCCTCTGCGTCTCTCTCTAGCCGTCTTTTAAACTCGAGACGAGCCAGGTGTCCTGTTTGCGGCGCTCCAAGTATACCTTCAGGGTCCTTCCTTCGATTAAAAAAAGAAAAAATATTTCAATCCAAAGCTTCAATTCGATTTATCAAACATTCAAACCCAGAAAATTTTATATAGTTTTGTAAGGTTGTACCCATTGGACGCAGGAGACTTTGAACCTGAAGTGCGTTCGTTTTATTGTCGTCGAACGCAAGGCGGCGGTAGCGGAGACGGCGATACCCATTGAGAGAGTGGCCATTGCTAGTGGCTGTTTCGTAGAAGCTCTTTCTGCTTCTGGTTTTTTGTGGGGTTATTTGAAGGCGTGCCGACGGTGTCTTATCCGTTAGAATATTACTTTTTAAACATGTTCGTACGTTTTCAGTTATGGTCGATTTAGTGATGGGAATAACGGCCGTTGGATTGGGTGGATTTTCAGCTATCATCTGCACCGTTAACAAAGGAGTGTTACCTTCTGGACTCCCATGGCCCAGCTAGAGCAGCTTTGGGCTTTGTGTTTGGAGGCTTGGCGATACCTCCACACCCAACCCAATATATATCCAAGCCTAAATATATACCACAATCAACAAATAAAAAACAAAATTTATTGTTATTATTTTGTAAAATTATTAGCTTTTTTAATCCGTACAATGCACAGACATTTTTATTAAATTTTTCATAATTTTAAATTTATTTTTTAATTATTAATCTAATATTTAATCATACATTTGTAAACGTTAAATTATAATTAAATGACAATTATATATAATATATTATAAATGATATTGTTTATCTAAAAAAAGTTTAAGCTTTTGTAAATTTTCAAGAATTATAAAAATCTTTTCTTTTAATAACAAAAATATTTTCTTCAATTCATTTGCTAAATACTAAAGTTTTGCTATCAAATTTTTATTGTTTGATAAGAAATCAAGAATCAATATTTAAATAGTTAAGATTAATTATTGTTTTTATGATAATGTTGATATAGGTGTGTGTGTGTATATATATTTTTATATATATTTAATTGAACAACAAATCATAATTATTAATTTAGTTATAACCATTTATTTTTTATTGTTTTTTATTTTTGACACACTTCAAGTAATCATTACATAAATATATTGGACTAACAATTATTTCTATATATGTCAACAAAATAAAGTTATTTTTTAGATAAAAGGAAACAATGATTCTTCTTTATGTTATGCTTAAAAATATATTTTTAAAAATTTTCTTATTTTTAATAATTTTAAACATAATTGATAGTATTTTTTGTGAGTTAGATATGGTAATAATCATCATTCTTCTCATACCATCCATTATAGATAAAAAAAATTCAATAATAAAAAGTATAACACAAGAAAATAGAGAATATAAGTTTATATATTAATTTGTCAAGATTAAAGATATGTAATAATAATAGCAAATATGTTAATAAATTACAAAAAATAAAAACATTAAAAAAATGAATAAAATAAAAAATATAATACGAAAAGTTAATTATAATCAACTTAAGCAAAATTAAAAATAATATAATATAATATATATATATATATATTAGATTAGATAAAGTATTATATTAAAACGATATATAATTAGATAAATTGATATAAAATAAGATCAAACTCACACAAATGACAATTATTATATTTTCAAAATAACACAAGAACGATGTAGATTTTATTCTAAAAAACTATCAAATCATTTGTTATTATATAATTAAAATAATTATTAAATTAACTAACGATAATTTCATAAATTGATTTGTGAAATTTAAAATTTTAAATATAATGCAAAACATAATAATTCTAGGAAAAAAAAACTTCACCCTTATGTGTGGTCTAAAGTATAAGCAATATCTTGCAAGAAACAACAAATTACCAATAGTTTGTAACCAACAAAATTGAAATTTATGACCCCTTTGTTGTCCATTTCGACAAGTCATATTATTCTGGTCTAATTTCACACATAGATCAACCTTTTCGACTTATGTTTTATGTCGTCTACATCTACCGAATGATTTATTAATATATTTCGTGTGACAAAAAAAAAAAAAGAACAATGAATATTAGCTTGTTCGTTTTGGTTTTCTGTCATTGACTGCTTCATTCTTCAAAAGTTTCAGCAAAAAGAAAAAGGGTCAAGAAAAAGGCAGGCACGTAATCAACGGTGCAAGCTGTCCTTCCAATAGACTATTCTTGATTGAAAGTTCTGATTTTCTTGAAATTTCAAAGAGAAAATTAGTCATATCGACGATGTGCTGTTAGCTCAATAATATTAAAATTAAAAATTTTGAATTCAAATTTGAGGAACCTAATAATAATATAGATTCAACGAGTATAATAAAATATGACAAAATCAAACCTTAAAAAGTCAGTTAAATGGTTAAACCATAAACTAAATATCCCATTTTATGTATGTATAGCCAATTATTTTCAGTCCATATCATCTCGTTGTAAATTATGTGCCTACTTTTCGGCCCTTAATTGTTACTAATAAAAGGATGCCTTCCTATGTCCAAATCAGAATGAGGTAATTGATTTTAAATTTGTTATTCGAAATTTAATTTTAATTTGATGAGTTTTAATTTTTAATTTTGAGTTTAATTTTAAATAAATATCAAATTATTTGAATTTGTTTAATTAATTTTATTTATTAAATAAAAAATAAATTTGATTTCAAAATCGATTATTTGTATTTAAATTTTAGTTCGAATTGATATATATAAAGATAAAGTAATAATTTTTTATTAAAATAATAAAAACATATATTTAAATATAAAATTTAATTAAATTTATAAAGTATTCAAATTTGATATTAAAATATTTAAATTTAATTCACTTGATAAGTTAAGTTACTAAAATTTAAATTCGATTTGATAATATCAAAATAAAAATTAAATTTTTTGCACAAAAAAATTTAATAATTTAAAAATATTAATATATAATTTATATTCTTAATAAAAAGAGATAGGTAATCGCCTATTAACATAAATATAACTAATCATGTAGGTAAGAAAACCATACCTTTCTTTGCAAATCGGCTATCACCAAAGTATGGAAAAGAGAAAATGATATTCCCCAGAATAAGATTACACACCGGTTGAAACTATTCATTGACCAATTTCATTGAAAATAGGATTACTTTCCGACAATTATATACAACTAATCTTACAAGACTTGTCCACCCGACGTCAGAAAAAATAAAATATTATTTTCATTTTTTAATAATAATAAAAAATTGGTTACCAACAATCTTTTAATAAATTATTTATAAATAAAATATAATATATTTTTTCTTTATCTAAATTTTTTTAATTTATAATAATAACATATTATTATTAAAATACATCTATTTTTTCTTTCTCCAAAAGTTAAGCCGTATGAGACATGGTGTGTGGCGCGTTTCATGAACAGAGACACTAATGAGAAATGTAAACGCATTAATTTTTTTCAGCTAACGCAGATGGAAGCATTCCCATTTGTTGTTTCCGTAAAAGAACAAAAAAATCTCTTCTGCTTTGTTGACTTTTGTCACTTGGAAATTACATGGTGGTCATTTGGTCAGGCCTCTCGATGCCAAAGTCTAAACCGTGACTGGGTGTTTTGTCGGCTTGCACAATTCACGGATCATTTTAGGATTCGTGCTAATTTTCTTAAGTGAAATTTTTATTGTTTTACTATTATTAAATATTTATGAAAAAAACTCTAGGCTTTGGATTACACAACGTGTTAAAATTTATTCTATTCTTTCATCCTATAAACTCACCTCCCATCTCCAAATTTTGATAATTTGACATATTCAATCTGTGTACATTTATTAAAAAAAATGAAGAATTAAACCCATTTAATTAATTCATGTAAATATTTTTAAAAATTAATATTTAATAATTTAATTTCATAATTTTTTATTTAAAATATGATATTTAATAAATAATACGATAAATAATTTTTTTTAATTTTCCGAGATATTCAGATTCCTCGAGCCATGCAGTGCTTTTCCTCAAGCGGCATGGCTAATCTTTTCATTGGGTTAATGGAATTTTAATTTTTTTTAGGTTTTTCCTGTACAACTAACTAATTCGATGGTATACTATTCAAACAAGGGCCGGCCCTGGCAGTGCTGCAAATATTACCAACGCCTCGTGATCATTTGGAGCAGTTGGTCTTCAATTTCCGTTTTAGGCTTTTTCCCACATTTCATCGCATACTGCCAATTTTTAGCCCTTCATTTTCAAAAATAGTGGATTTGACGTGTCATTTACCAAAACGATACAATCATCCAATGATTCAACGACAAGATTATATAATCTATTTTGAGAAAAAACAGTAATATATTTCTTTACTTTGAAAATAAGACATTTAAATTAAGTTTGCTTTCTCCTTTTGTCTTCAGCGTTTTGGTCCAGCGACCAAAAACGCCTTAAAAAAACATAAAATTGCAGTTTAATTTTAGTTTCTTTTCTCTTTTCTTAGGGTTCTGTCACTTAAAAAAAAAAAGCATTTGTTAGGAAAATAAAAAAAAAATGCACCAAATTAGATATTTATAGGCACGCTCTGTTTCAGGGGAAGTCTCCAACACGTACACTTTATTCTTTTTTTTTTTTCATTTTTTACAAATAAAAAAAAAAAAGAGGGGAGGCCAGCGAGGCTAGCCTGTTCTATGGAATCCACCCAATTGCCATAAAAAAGTTATAAACAATGTCAGCTCTGACCTATTCAAAGGACATGTGTATCATAAAAAAATAGAAGATATGGATTATTATTACTATTGTTTTCAAAGAATAATTAATGATGCATAAATGATAGTACTACTAACAATTAGTCCATTATCATTTTTTTTTCTCCTTATCTGATGGGATTGAATTTAAAAAGCTATACCAAATAATTTGATTATTTCACAAATTTCATAACATCAATAATTTGATTCTTTCTGGAATTATCAAATTGAGTTGTATTTGTTTCGCTACCATTCTTGCATGTGATCCAATTTAATTATATACATAAAAAAGTAGTGAAATGTTATTTTTTTATTTTATTATTACTAGGAATGTTTTTATTTAGATCTAGCTAAGGTGGACAACAAATTAAGTTATGTTGTTATAGTGTTATTACATTTGACGAGCAAAATGACTTAAAACTTGTATTGTTCAAATTCATTAGCATAAAAAAAATTACATAATTAAATTTAAAAATTAATCTAGTTGATTTATATAATTATTTTAAAATATGATATTAAAAAATTTTAAAATTTAAATTTTAACATTTATAATTTATTTTTTTATAACTCATTTTTCTATCCTAAATTACAATTTAATTTGTAAAAAAAAAATATTATTATAAGCATTTAGTCATCAAAAAAATATTTCGATCCTTTTACTCTATCAAAAACTATCAACAAATAATCAGAAGTATTTTAGATATTTAAATTAACTTGACATGTTAGATTGATTTGATATACACATCACTATTATTTCTCGTTAGTTTCTTGCTCCTTATCTATAAAAATAGATATTCAGATATTATCATTTCAAGTTTTATTTTATTTTAATTTTTTATTATTTTCTCATTTTAATATTCTTTATTTTAATTTTTAACTTGAAGTTTGAAGTGTAAATAAAAGAAATACTCTCTGTTTTTCATCTAATAATTCTTTTTTTTTTCATTTATATGAACAATTTAAGATGATATGAGTGGATTATAACTTTGGTTGTAGTTATATTATTATTTGGATAATAATAAGAGAAAGATACTAACATTATAATTAATAATTACAATTTAAATTATCATTATCACATTAGAAAATATTGTTGAACTTATTTCAATAGTAATTAAGAAAAAATTCTAAGTCTAACAAATTAATTAACTTATAACTGAGAAGAAAATTTTCCCCTCAAATCAATTCGAACTATCTCTAGAAAAACAATACTATTCCGCAAATTATCGAGCGTGAGTCAACGCTCAATGAGAGCGCGTTTCTATTTCACCTTCTGCTTTGTCCTTTCTGAACCTATGACCTGTCTTACTCTTAACCACTCCCCTCCTGCCCCCAAAGGTCATTATTTAAGCAAAGACATAGCAGTCAGGTTAGGGGAAAAAACACAGAAACGAACCGAAATTCCAAACGCCATGGCTAAGATGTTGATCATGGCGGTTCTTGTGATTTTGGGGACAATGGCAACCGTTACGGATGCGCAAGCAACTTGTGCGCAGCAGCTGGTGCCTTGTGCTCCTTACCTTAACAACGCCACGGCCCAACCTGGAGACGACTGCTGTAACCCTATCAGACAAGCCGTGGCTACTGAGCTTTCCTGCCTTTGCAACCTCTATAACGACCCTAGTTTGCTTGCTTCTTTTAACATTACTGTCGCTGCGGCTCTCAGGATCTCTCGTGAGTGCGGGATCACTACTAATCTCAGCGCCTGCAACGGTATGTTTCTAGCCATAATTATCTCTATAATTTGTCTGGATGAATAAAAGATGAAATTGGTTGATACCCTTTTCATTTGTTTCCTTTTATTCTTAGCCAAGTCTTGATTCATACTATTCATGTTTGTATAATCTATTGGTTTATAATTTTCAGATATGCTAGAATTCTTCATAATTTTGATTAAAAAACTAATTATTCATCTCTTGATTTTTTTGCTTGCTACAGCTACTTCTCCTACCTCTGCTCCACCCCCACCAGGTAACAAAACATATCTTTAATTTTCTCAAATAAATAAAGAAAAAGATTTCAGTTAATTCCTTTTCAGAATCAGGGATTCTCGATGAGTTTATTCTGGAATAACCGCTAGCCATCTCAGTCTGAGTTTTTTGTCAATTTGATCAGGGCCTGAAAAAAACATGTGAACTTTTTATTTATTTATTTATTTGGTTACATGTGAAATGATAACCTACCAAAATGATTTTTTGTTGATTTTTTTTGGCTGATTGGGAACCATTATTGAAGTTTTATAAATGTGAAAAGAGTAGTTGGTGGTGATGCCAGCTAGTAAAAGTAAAGGATTTTCTTTAATAATCCAACTGCACATATACTATTCATTTCCCTTGGAGAAACTGAAGAATATTTTATTATCGTAATTTGATTAAGAAATTTTATTCATATGTAAGGAATCCAAAGTATACATTGGGAAAATCTTGGTCCATGTTTTTAGGGGTTTTTTTTTTAGTATTCCCCTTGTCTCTTTCTTTTTCTTTCTTATTCCTTTTTTTAATAGCTATAATATATGAATGCATGACCAAGCTTTAGCCTAAGTTGTTAACGTGTCCCTTTAAAAGACTCCGTTTTTAAATGCTATATCCTTCAGCTCAATTCTAGGACTTGACACCACTCAGTTAGTTCTTCACTTATTTTACCAGGGCGTTATCTAATTTTAGTGCAAATTGATGTTAGGAAGTTAGGAATAAACCTTGGTTGAATAAAATAGATTTACTTATCTGAGACATGATTTAGCAACACAATCTGTTTGTAACTAGCACGAATTGCCTACTGTTTTAGCCTTAATATTTTGCGCCTTAAAATTTTACAGGACAACCTGGAGCTGCTGAAAGGATTGCATTGACTGGACTTACCGCCATGTTCTTATTTTTGGTCTCTATAGCGCTGTATTAAGGTGACATATTCCTTGGAACCTTGATGGGCAGATAGATTTCTAAGAGTAAATAATACAGAGATCATTCAGATTAGGCATCCGAGTTTGAATATCTAGAGATTTAATGTTTGCTTGTATTTTATTTTTTTGGCTTGATATTATACTTGGTTGGTCAGTGTTGCTATCACATATCTTTTATTCAGTCATATTTATGGCAGCCTTGAGTTCCATCATTTTGTTCTCAAAGTTGAAACTACATATTCGTTGTGATTTCGTGCCTTTGGTTACAGCATCAGATTGAATCTTTCCGTTTGGAATGGCCAATACCATATTCCTCTTTGTTTAAACCTGAAAAGTTGATTGAGAGAGTTTGATGGATCGATCCCTGAGGCATTGATCTGTCATTTTACTAATCCATGGTATAGGTGGTCACTTGTTTGTGGCACCACTAACACCAAATAAAATCTAAAATGAGATACTGAACATGTTGAGCTTTGAATTGCATGATGGACCCCAAGTCAACCATGGCTTTAGCATCTGCTCTGGACACTGGGCATATTTTTCTTCCCCAACACCATCTGCTGGGGGAACAATTATAGCTAAATGCATGATGGGCTTCAGTTAATATCATCACTAGGGATGGCAACAAGTCGATTCAAGCTTTTTTCATCTTGAATTCAATTCGATTTTATACTTATAATATCTTAATTCTAATTTAATTTGATATTATATAAATTATATAAATTTTATTTGATTCTATTTGATTTGAAATTAATAAAATATTATTTTTAATATAAATATAAAATTAAATAAATAATTAAAAAATATTTTTTTATATATATCAAATTAGGTTGAGTTTATTTAAAATTCGATCTTAATTTTTTTTTTATTCTTATCCTACTTAAATCGAAATTTAATTTTTGAAAAAAAAAAAAAAAAACTCTAAGAGGTAGGATCAAAATCCGCCAAAGATAAGTTGGGCTGCTATCCCCCAATCATCAGTCTCGCACACTAACAGTTATCGGCTTAATTATCTTTCGGCATTCTATCACCCCAACAGCTTCGTTTTTTTCTTTGATGAAAATTTATTCGACGGAGTTCATGGGTCACTCAAATGGTAATGGGAGTTAAAGTCTTATTTTTTGCAAAACACTTTTATTTTTACAGGTTAATCGGACTCTTGCATGTAAATAATAAAGTGGTTTGGAAACTTATATACAAATTTTTGTAGAAAAGAAACATGGTGTTATTTGCGTTTTTATTTCTCAAATTAACGTGTTGACTGTTGCCTAAGAAGAAAAGCCATGGATTGTTACGAGATAAGGTTGCAAGATAACGAGAAATGATAAAGTTACTTGTTTAACTTTCTTAAATCAAAATTTGCACCAATGAATTAAGATTAAATAATCAAAATATCTCAAATAAATTAAAATTTGAAACTTAATTTAATTAATTTATATTATAATTTTTAACATTATTTAATAAATTTAAAATATATATTCTAATTCATGCAACTCCTTTTCTATTAATATATTATAATCTCTTTTATACTAAAAAAAAAATTGAATATGATTTATGTATAATGAATAAAGGAAAAAAGTTAAATGAAAATTTTTAAATAAAGTCCATGAGAGTTTTTATAAAAAATAATTACATTAAAATAAATTTAAAAAATTAAAATTGATAGATAAAAAAATTTTATTATATAAATTGTGTAAAATTTTAAAAAAATTCAATAAATTTTGATATACTTTTTAAATAATCATTTTTAATAAAAATTTTAAATTTTTTATTGTTAAATAAATGTGATTAAATTTACATTACAAATTATATTTTTAATTTTTTTCACATATTATTAATTTTTTCATTAAACTCTATCCATCTATATCTTTTAGTAAAATTTTTATTAAATTATTTCTAATTAAAAATTTCATAATCATTCATCTAAAAAATTTCTTCTAAATTATACCCTAACAATAAACCCTCAAAAAAGAAAAAGCATCAGAAACCGACTATAAGCTAAAACGGCAAGTGTAAAGCAAAAACTAAAAACCAACCAGCATTTTATGACCTAATAATTATTTTTTTCTAATTCGAGGCTGATCCATCCTACTAGAAGGTACTACCATTATTTTCTCCGCTCTTTCCATGAAAAAACCCCAAACCTTCAAAACCCACTAAAAAGAGAACGAAGCTCCCAAACCCCAAACGTTCTCTGCAAAACCCGAAAATGGACGCGGCGAAATTGAACGAGCTGAAGAAGTTCATCGGTCAGTGCAAATCCAATCCCTCTGTTCTCTCCGACCCTTCCCTCTCCTTCTTCCGCGACTATCTCGAAAGGTAATTTCAAATATTCAATCACTCTACTATTTACTCTGCTCTCTCTATTTCTCAACTCACTCCTTACTTTTACTCGCTTTATAAAACTAACGCCACTGTTTATCAGTCTCGGAGCAAAGCTCCCTTCCTCTGCTTACAGCCATGGAGCCGCCGACTCCAAATCGGTAACCGTTTCTACACTAATTAACTCTGACGTTTTATTTTTTTTCCCTTGCTAGTTTTTTAACCAAACCGAGGATTTTGATTTACAGAAGAGTTATGTGGTGGAGGAAAGTGACGAGGAATTGGCGGATGAAGGAGAGAAAATCAATGTAGAAGAAGAAGAAGAAGAAGAAGAAGGGGAAGATGAGATTATCGAATCTGATATCGAGCTTGAAGGCGATACGGTTGAGCCTGATAATGATCCTCCACAAAAGGTAGCATCTAATCTTATTATGAATTTCTGTTTTTAGTTTTTTTTTCTTTGAGTTATTTTTAACTGTTTTATTTATTTATTTTGTGTTTGTAGATGGGTGACCCTTCAGTGGAGGTTACCGATGAGAACCGTGATGCTTCGCAATTGTTTAAAGCCAAAGCCATAGATGCTATTTCCGAAGGTAAATAATTCAGTATCTAATATTTATTTGTCCCTTTTTTTTTGTTTGAATTTGTATTTGATGAATCAGTGTAACGCAGGGAAGTTAGAGGAAGCTATTGAGAATCTAACAGAGGCAATTTTGCTGAATCCAACATCAGCAATTATGTATGGCACACGAGGTTAGCGTTTGTTATTGGGCCAGTTATATGCTGGGTTTCATTTAGTTTTTGTTATGTTTCGTTTAATATTTTTGAGATAGATTCTTATATCTGTTGGAATGATTTGGTTGCTTTGTATTTTTTTTTTTCTTTCAGCTAGTGTTTACATTAAGATGAAAAAGCCAAATGCTGCTATTCGAGATGCCAATGCGGCTTTGGAGGTTTGTGTATACATTGTTGTTTGCCTTGGAATGAATATGGTTTTGCACATGCTTGTATGATAAAATGCTACATGGTAATTTTGTGAATCGTTTGAACTGTGTGTTTTGCATTATTGGTTCATTCAAGCAACATATGTAAGGGATTTATGCACAGCAATGTTGTGTTCATATTTGTTTCCTCATGTTTTAAGGTTTCCTGGAAACAATGAGGCCATATTTGAGAGGGAAAATGTTTCACATTTATCCTCATTTTTATCTTATAGATTAACCCAGATTCTGCTAAGGGTTACAAGTCTCGTGGCATTGCACGGGCAATGCTTGGTCAATGGGAAGATGCTGCAAAGGATCTGCACCTGGCATCGAAGTTGGATTATGATGAGGAAATAAACAATGTGCTTAAGAAGGTTTGATCTCGTCTGTCCTTTCTTTTTCACTCTTTTCTTTGAAGTGCTCAGTTATGTGTTATAATTCTTGGTAGAGATGAGATTTTGAGACCAGGACAAGTCAGAGATGGGATTTTAAGAATAGTTTCAAACAATTTTGGTTAGTTAGTAGATATTTAGCATTGTAAGTCTATCAGATGATTTCTCCTTTTTTTTTTTTTTTGGGCAAAGTGAATGTCCATACAAGCTTGCACCAGTTGACCTAACTCATCCAAGCTTTATTGCTTCCTTGTTCTTATATTTCTAATTGAGTGATCTGAGCAAAATGTGATTTATTAGGTGCATTGAGTCTTTCCCAAAGTAATAACAAGGGGTTAGTATGTATCTTCTGACACGGAAAAGAAGTCTTATTCGCTGCCACCATTGTTTGTGGGTTTGGGCTGTATCAGCATCAGTAAAATGAGAGACAGGACTATTATTGTTGGGTGCAACTCCTGCTTTGGTGGCTAACATTGACTTCTTTCCTTAAACAGGTTGAACCCAATGCACACCGCATTGAGGAACACCGTAGGAAGTATGATAGATTGCGCAAAGAGAGAGAAGATAGAAAGATTGAGCGTGAGAGACTGCGTCGTCGTGCTCAAGCTCAGGTAATTTAGCGCTTATCCATCTTTTGATAATGTTGCTTTACTATTGTTTTCTTCGACTTTGATTCCATTGTATATTGTGCTCAAGGCCACATATGAGAAGGCAAAGAAGCAGGAGCAATCATCCTCCAGTAGTAAACCTGGAGGCATGCCTGGTGGGTTTCCCAGTGGAATGCCTGGAGGTATGCCTGGAGGAATGCCCGGTGGTTTCCCTGGTAGCATGCCAGGTGGGATGCCTGGAAATGTTGATTTTAGCAAAATATTGAATGTAAGTATGATGGAACAGGCTTTCTTTTTATTTTTATTATTAAACCAATCAATTGTATTTTGCTTGTTTATGCTATCCCAATTCTTTTCTTTCAAATTCTTTTAGGCTGAAATGTCTAGAAAATGTATGTTTTCCACTTTTATGATGCATACTAAATACTTGGAAAAAGTGAATTGTTATTTGGAAACTTTTTTTTTATGTGGTTTCCAATGTTGATATTTTGATCAGGATCCTGAATTGATGGCGGCATTTAGTGATCCTGAAGTCATGGCTGCTCTTCAAGATGGTAGGCAGTTTGCTTTACTATGTTTTATTTCCTTTCCTTTCCTCTCCTTTTTTATATTTTTTCCCTCTCCTATATTTGGAATTTGTGGAGTATTCTTTCTTTGCGTCATTTTTATGTTTTTTTCACCCTAGTTGCTTTCCATGAGCTAGGACCATGCTTGCCAAGAAAACTTAGGAACATGTTTTAGCTGGTCTTAGTTTCTGATACATGTTTGTATGGGTTTCAGTAACCGCCTGATTCTATTAGGACTCAGTGCAGAATGAGACTCTTATTGGGAAGTGGGAACTCCGAATAGTTTGGCTGAGGCTTCATTGAGATGACTATCAGTATTCTTTGTAGGTTTGTAGTGTAATATGTTCTAGTGTGCTGTAGTACAAATTAAAATAATTGTGCATTACCTTACATACACTTGACGATATATTTTTTAGTGTTGGACATATTAGTTATTCTATTTAAAAATTGATAATGAGTTTTATACATTGTAAATATATATTCTTGGGAAAATTCCTTGTAATTTAGCAAATTATTTTTGTCTCAGAACCTCATTCAGGAATATGTTTTCCATGAAGCTGTAGTTTTAGCTGATGCATATTCTTTAATGCTTTTGGTAATTTGCATAATTTTGTTATAAGTGCTATATCTAGGCATGGATGATTCATCATCGTGATTGTTTGTAACAAAGGACCATGTTCTATACTACATGGAAACTACAGAATGAATAATTTGACATTCGTTATCTTTTTCTTGGGTGACATCTTTTTGCTGATCTGTATTCTTAAAAATGAGTTTGCCTTAACAGTGTTTAAAATGCATATTTTCGTTGCACACTTTCTATTCATTCAAATATGACATTATCTAGTTAATCTGACTGCACACTCTTTTAGCCTAGATCGTTTGGGTTCTTTAACTGTTCCTCTTTTTTCAGGAAATTTGTGGTCTTCAAGCCTGTGAGAGTTTTATGCTTTGTCAAATGGTTTTTTAATGTTCTTGTCAATGGTTTTTGTTGCAGTAATGACGAATCCTGCTAATCTTGCAAAGCATCAAGCAAATCCCAAGGTGGCTCCTGTAATTGCAAAGATGATGGGCAAATTTGCAGGACCTAAGTAAATAGTTTTTCAAACGATGTCATTTGTTTGGATAGTCTCATGTCTTCATTTGAAGGAAATAATATTTGTATTACTTCTCATTTAGAGTAACAGCAATAGTAAATGAAAGAGTCGCATGATGGTTGTGTTGGGAATTTGTAATATAGGTCGGAGGATTTTGTTTTTCTTTTTTGTTGGTTTGTTCTAATAAGAAAAAAAACGATTTTTTTTTTCAGTTTATAAAAATGCATTTAAGAAGTGAGGTTGGATGTTTTTAAAATCGAAAAAACAAGTGATTAATTTTTTACAAATTGTTTAAAAACAACACTTTGCATGACAGACAACCTTGTTTATTGGATGTAACGAATACAATGGATGGATATTGGGTTTGCAAATATTCTGCTTCTTAGTCAAGAAAATTCCAATCGTTTGTTTTTATAGAGCTGTGCGACAAGAACCTGTCTCTACCATTTCTTCCTTCACACATGATTTTGCTGTCTGAAAGAACTATTATAACTTCAACAACAAAGGCTCCTTTGAAAAAGGTAAACAACAGAGAGAATGAGAAGTACCCTTCCGTAGTACCACAGCAAGCAAAGGCCTGATAGACCACCATTCACCCACCCTGCAGTTGAAATAATGTCGGCAAGCAAGCAAAAAGCCCAAGTCTTGACTGAAAAAATTGTTACTACCTACAACTCACTAGCTTTTTTCTTTATTTGACTGACGTCTCACAAACCCAATTAGGCCAGAGAACGGAAAATGACCCATCACCCATTACCCCCATCACCGAAAACTAACATTCCCTCCAATCATACTCTAACAGTTTAGCTACCAAAGCTCACCCAGCAGTTAATTTAAGCTACCACTCCCTTTGATTATAAACCAAAATTCCTTCAGAAAGTTACAAGACCAAGCTAGAAAAAAAGGGAAAAAAATAAAGTAAGCAAAAGTATAATTTCTTCAACCCTATTCAAAATCGCCCATTTCCTCCTCACTAAACTCTATCTTTGTTAGACACATTATACATTACACCTGTCAGTGTGTCTTGTAACGCAAAAAGGGACAGTGTTGAAGCTAAATTAGATCAGTCAAGAAATTCTATCTTTGGAATGTCTTGTCATTACACCACTAATTGTGGGAGAGTTTCAATTCCTAAAGATTTAGAGTCTGACCCTCATCGAAACCCCAACTTATATTATTTTTTTTGACCAAATTCCCTTCTCATTTCTTCATAAAGTTGAGCTCAGAAATTAATATATATATATATATATATATATATTGCTTTGTAGCTTTGTGGATCATCGTCGGTCTTCCCCTGTTAAGTTAATTGTTATTGCTTGCAATTTAATTTAATTTTTTGTTTAATTCCTTCCTTAATGACGACTGCATTACTCACAAAGTAGGTAATTAGACAACTTTATTAAACTAAAAAATTGATATGTTTTTTCATCACAATAATAGTTTAACATCATTATTTCTATGGAGAATAGTAATCACAATGTTTTTGAATTCCCATTTGGTAGTTCATTAGTCGCTTTAAGCTTTGCCTTATGGTGTTTATGCCATAATGATGCTCATGTACTTTTCATGTTCAACAACACCCAAGTGGGGTTTATATAAGTATATAATTTAACGCCACATGTAAATTTAGTTTAATTTAAAATTTTGATTAACGAGTACTTTAAAGGTAACTGTAAATTTGTTATTTATTAAAAAAAAGTCCACGAGAAAATTTGAAACGTAGATGGAATATTGGGCTTAATTAAAGTTACTAGTAATTTATGAAATTAAGTAAAAAGTTGAAATAATGAAATTGATCTAGACTGTATATATATGTTATCTTTTGAATTAATTAATCTTTAAATATTTGGATATTGAAAATATGATACATTAATTAAATCCATGATGAACTCATCATTTGAACTTAATCATCAATAAAAGAGCTTGAACAAGAATTAGTGAAACGTAATCATATATTGCTTCTTCTTTTTAATATGCACCGTCTTGATTCACATGCTCCCACTTAATTGTTAGTGGAAAACTGTGAAAGGAACAAGGAATCCTTTAATAAAGGAGAAACTTCACTATCCTGCAATGAATATATATAATAAGTATAAATAAATAATATAAAAAAAAATTCAGAGAGAATGTGTAATCAATATAGTGGAAGGAACTATTGCAATAATGTGAACATGTTTTCTACCTAAAACAGCTATATGGCCTTTGAAGTGATCATGAAGTCACAACTGCTACAGTTATGGCTGAGCTAAAATCCGACAGCCCCAACTCTACAAGCAATGCCCGTATCCTCATTTCTCAGCTACCTTACCTCGCCGAGTATTGGTTTCACCTGTTTTATACCTAAAAAATTAATGATTCAGCAGTCACTTCATTTCTTTATACCAAAAAAAAAAAAAGGAAAAATATCTAATCTTCTATCTTTTAGGGTTTATCGATATTCCATGCGTCGATGTCGATTTATGAGATGCCAGAACTTTTATTCGATTGTTAATTGTTGGGAGATCGCTGAGCAAACTCCATTGCATTTGCATGTTGGTGAAATGGTGACGACGACGCATGACATATTTCACACGCACGTTTTAGCAGAAAGTTTGGTTTCCTATCACTTTTCCCTTCCTTTTGGGGAAAGGTATGCATGTACACATAATAGTATATACACTTTAATACAAAGAACAAAACAAAAATATTTATCCACTGAGTGCCTTGCAAGTCATTCTATAATTTCCCCCTGCTTTTTCTATGCTTCTTGGCAAAATGCATGCACATGTTGCCCTTCTGCATGTATTTTACATGTGTACGTTGTCCGTTGATAATCAAGTTAACAGTTTAAATTCAACACTTCTAATCAGACAAAAATTTGAAAATCCTTAATGCCAATGCTAAGAGGCAGTCAAATGAGGAGCTGCTTTTAAACATTGTTACATTAATGAGTCACGTCATGGCAGCTTGAAAAATTGAAACTAGCGACTGATAATAAGTTTCTTAGCTTTTTAAAACTTCATACTTTTTTATTCATAAAAAGGAAAGAAGAAACTGGCTTTGGCAGTTCCCACCCTTCAATATGGCAGCATATTATTTCATATATATTAATTTAATTTAACTAGCTTTCACGTTAAAATTATTATTTGTTAATTTTATTTTTTATTTTTAATAAAATTTCATACCTTGTAATTTGAGAAAAATTAAAATTACATTATTATTTTTCTATTTATTATATCCACAATCATTATTCATGAACTCTTTAAAATAATAGATTTGTAATAACTATTAAGTTACACTCATGTTAGTTAAAAAAAATAAATTAACTTTTTAATTTTCTCAACAAGATTCTAAGTTTTCGATCAAGTAACAAAGGTGTATTGTTCTTTTTTAGCTTGCAATTATCTTCTCATATCTTTATGATATTTTTTATTTTTATTTTTTATGTTTGATAAAACAATCTATGTTAATTGATTAGATTCTTAATTTTTCTTGAAGTACTCGTGTTCAACAAATGTACGATAAATGTGGATATGAAAGTTGCACGGTCCAAATATAAAGAAAAAGTAAAAAAAAAAAAAAGAGTATATTCATATTGGATGCATTGTATTTTACACTCATTCTCAAATCTGAATAACATAACAAATAAAAACATATCATTTTAATTGGGCCTCAAAATCGGATGTCAAGATCTGCCGCTTCTTGAAATGTATTACTAATTGTTTTTATCATCAATTAGAACGTTTGGTTTTAAAACAATAAGATGATTGATATATGTATCTTCTACATGTCACACATTTAGATATTCTCTTTTAAAATTCTATTAAAGTCTATAAAAATTTTAATATTTTTCACTTAAGTTGCTAAAAAGGAGTGTATGTGACGAGTGCATGTAGTACTGTCCTTTTTTTTTAATTAAGTCACAAAACCCTTTCACTGAAAAATTTTGCGAAGATCTTTAATTAGGTGTCAAATATTAATTATTTAATAACTTCAGGATTAAATGATTAATTATTTATATGCAAAAGGTTTAAGGGAGGAACATGAGATTTCAAACTTGGATTTTTTGCCCAGATTCGAAATGAAATCCAAAGTCAAGCTATTAAGGAAATGGGTCCACACTGAACTATACCCACCTAAGCCAAGAGATAAAAGTCAAATAACAAAGAAATTTGAATATTAACTATCCCTTACACACTCATCTTATTATATTATGTAGTATATATGTGAGTATAAACATTGTCCATCATCATCAAGAAAATGTGCATGCATCATAAGGTTATCATGTTGAAATAAATTTTGACATGGAGATTACTTAGAGAGAACATGCGTGACAAAGGGTTATTTTTATAAAACCGATTTAGTAAATGAAAATCTTGGTTATCTCAAATAAACCTCAACCCTCCGATCAGGGTAATCTAAACCATAATCAACGGCTAAAAGTCTAGCTAATTCTTTAACCAATAAGCTAATCTAGTATAAATAGAATCTAATGGAACAATCTAGAAAACATAATACGTGTCTTTCAGGACATAATAATACGTATAATTGTTAACATAGTTATATAATATACGCCTTCCGTGTCAAAGATACCTTTACTTGTGTCTGCTGTTTTATTAAGATGAACAAAGACTTGTCGGAGACAGTGGGCAAAGTAAAAGAATCCGAACCAAAATCAACATATAGATTAAGGACTAGTGGAAGTTAAGGTTTTTGAAACTGATAAAGACCATTGCTAATATCGTAGTAAATTATCTAACTAGTATTTTATTCTCATAATTTGTGACAATCATGTAGTAGTGAATGCCATTATAATTCATGTAATAATGAATGTCATTATAATTAAGTACATATAAGAGATTAAGAAGTTGTAATTATGTGGCTATATTTTTGTAAAGTTTCCGATTAATTAGTTAGATTAATCGATGAACTTTGGGTAGCATTTATATTGATGTTTAAAGAAAGATGATTCTACATATATTCTTAAATAAAACACTTCTATATAAATATATATAAATACATATATATATATATATATTCTTTGTGAATAAATCAGACATTTTTTGACTTTTTTTTCTTAAACTAATTATACAAAATTATTTCTCTTATAACAGATTTATGTAAGTGGAATGGATTAACAAATAATTAGCCGTTTTCCTTATCAAGTATAGTTTGCTAATCATAGCCGAACGTAGAAGATAAGTTGAATTAGCAAGTTGTTGATTATGATTTAAAATACTATGATGGGAGAAGCAATGATCGACTATTGACAAGTTAAGTTGTTTTATTACTTCTGCTTTTTGATAGCTAATCTTGTGGATTTCGAATGCTAGGTTTTCTTCCTAAGCATAACTTAGTAATACTTAACAAAACACGAAAGAAATACACACCACATCTTAATAAATTGACGAGGAATGAGTTTGATGGATGAAAATGAAAAAAAAAAAAAAAAAACGGAATGAGAATGTCAAGATGATCTTGTTCTTCTTGGAGTAATCATGAAGTTTTTTCGTCCATTCAACAGAGTTAGAGTATATAATTGTGCAAGAGTAATAAGTCATTAACTGAATTAGTGATTTACCTTGTGTGTCTCTCTCTCACGAAAAGGAAAAAGTAGACGTTGAAAATAAGGGTTCTTAGTAACGAAATGGAGAAGATAGCATTTATGATATAGGAAAATCTTATTTGAAAGTCAAGATATGGGTGTTTTTCTGGGGAAAATGTTAATCTGTGGTGTGAGATATAGGAGTTGTTCTTAAAACAAAAACCTTCTTAAGCGATAACATTTTGACATTCCTAAATAAATCCTAATTCAATATATCTAAAAACTTTATAATATAGTTATGACGAGGAGAATAATGAGTGTTTGTGTGTATTATAAAAGTACGTTATCAGTTATTTAAAAATAAAAAACAAAATAGGACTATGATTTGGTCACATTAAATTAAATATTATATAAAGCCCAAAACCAAGATAATTTAATTCCCTAGATCAAAATTAAGGCAAATAAGTAATAATCTCTTAAGTAAAATGGTAACTCTAGTCGTAAAAATTTCTACTGAAATTAGGGTAAACGTAAACGTGGTGCTGACGAAATGGGTGATGGAATGATTGAGTAAGAGTGCAATGAGATAGAGTGGGTTGTGTAGGAAAATAGGAAGAAAAATTTTTTGGGAATGCTTAGAGGCAGCCATGGTCTTGGGGTCACCCATCATCCACTCTCCTCCCTCACTCTTTCGTGTGTCTACTCGCACCAGAACATCCCATTTTGGTTCCAACATCGCTTTCATTAACCAATGGTGGACCCTGGTTGGAATCTCCTCCTCTCATCTCTCTTCGAATTTCTTTTATATATACATATATTACTAGTTGAATTACATAATCTCCAATTTTGTATTTATATATATCAGCCTCTGAAAGCTGATCAAGGACTTTGTATAAAGGTGGGTGTGGGGCTTTTGGGTCTTTACAGGTACAGAATTGGTGAGATTAATTACTTGTTATTAGTGTTTGTTTGTGTTTAGTTGGACTAAGATATGGGTAGGCAGCCTTGCTGTGACAAACTGGGTGTGAAAAGAGGGCCATGGACGGCTGAGGAAGACAAGAAACTCATCAACTTTCTTCTCACCAATGGCCAATGTTGCTGGCGGGCTGTTCCTAAGCTTGCTGGCCTCCGCCGCTGTGGCAAGAGCTGCCGGCTTCGATGGACTAATTATCTTCGGCCTGATTTGAAGAGAGGTCTTCTTTCTGAGGCTGAAGAACAGTTGGTTATTGACCTTCATGCCCGTCTTGGCAATAGGTTAATTAGACTCTCTTTTCTGTGTTATTCATTATCCTGCATTTTGTGGTTGCTTGGATAAGTTTAAGTGATCATAACCGTTAGATTAGATAAGTTTTTAATTGCTCTCGTTTAAAAGACACTGCTTGTATATCATCTTCTAGTTTTCTAGTTTTGGGGAGGTTGATGATGATAATGTTTTTGACAAGGACAGCTTATAATTAACGCATTTGAAAAGGGGCACCTAAAACAGTTGCATTTGACAAGGTTTCTTCTTTTTGCTAAGAAAATGATAAGTTGCAGAAAAGTCTTCCCAGAGAATTACTACTAGTTTTTACAGTAAGTTTTTGTAAAGTTAAATAACGATACCATTCAGGTTTTATAGACTATTGATTCTTTATTGTTCATTAATTATCATCCACTTGAGCGAGCTCCCATATAAAGAATACGTTGCTTTATGAAGTTGCTTCGGCTACTTGCTTGCTTGAAATCCAAGTGTTTGACGAAATTTTATAAGAGAAGTAGTACTTTAGAAGTTTGTCGTTAAAGTTTGATTTGTTGATGGGTTTTGATGATTTCATATGCAGGATTAAACTTAATATATTGGTTATTGTTCTTTTCTTTATCAGGTGGTCAAAGATTGCGGCCAGGTTGCCAGGCAGAACTGATAATGAGATCAAGAATCACTGGAACACCCACATCAAGAAAAAGCTTCTCAAAATGGGAATTGATCCTGTTACTCATGAGCCCTTGAACAAAGAATTAGCTAAGGCTGAAGAAATTTCTTCTCATGCTAATAATTCTGCAGATAATCATATAACAGAAAATGATGGCATCGCCAATTCATCAGAGGATAATTCGAGTACACAAACTGAGAATTGCTCTAGTACTGATGACTCCAACTTGATAGACAGCATTTGCAACGATGATTCTTTATTGACTAGCTTATGGATGGATGAACCAGCTCCCCTGGTCGATGCTTCATGGAACGGTATACCAGCGGAAGAAACTTGTAATGGCACAAGCTTGCCATCTTGGGAGGAGAACTGTGCATGGTTGCTGGATTGCCAGGATTTTGGTATTCATGACTTTGGATTCGATTGCATAAACGACATAGAATTAAACTCGTTAGAGATGGGCAACAAAACAGTAGCCTGATGCACCATAGTTGAAGCTGTGAGTAAAATATCAAAATTAATTACTTAAAGCTTCAAATTAAGGTGCATATGTTACCAAAAGTTTAATGTCCAGTTGATTTCAAGTCTTCAGTGTTGATTTAATCTTCCTGTACTTCGTAATATTGTTGGAAGGTCGAAGGTAAACCTCGCTTCTTCAGAGGTTTCTCACCTACCAATTTAAAAGTGACACCAACCCTCACATCCTCAAGGTGTGATATTTCTTGATGCCTTGCAAATATTTTAATCTTTCTTCTGTAAAATACAGGGAAACAATTATTATTCAGCCAAATAGGGACACAATGGGCATGATAAAAGTGGTAGTGGCTTTTGTGAACGTCAAACCTCTTGTATATATTTAATATTTATATTTATATATGAAAATAAAGGCAAAAAGAACGGTTACTTTGTTGTGGTTATAGTTTCTGAATGAAATGCTCGTTAGCAAAATTTCATCTCTTTTTCTAATGGTTAATTGACGAATATTATCTCCTAAGGATTGATTAAAATTTGAGGCCAAATTAAATAGTATATCCATCTCTAGTCATGTAATTATGATGGCTAAAGCATTTAGCTTTAAAAAGAATGAATAAAGAAATCATTAAGTAAAACTTTCAAGTACAAGAAGAGAAGAGCACATTCTAGTTTATACCAGCAGTACTTTGTCTGTCCCTTAACAGTTTCCTCTTAAGTACATCCAAATAACTGCAGAGTGCCTAAAAAATTAAAAGCCTTTTGGGGCAAGATCAGGACCACTATTCCATCGATCTGTTGCTGGCTATATGTTATTGTCACAAAATTGTAGCATGGACTTGTGCAATTCGTGCATATCATCAACAAACAAGTGGCTAGACATCCATAATTGAAGCAGATGACTTAATTTGGTTTGAGCACACTCTCCATTAATGTTTTCTTTTTGTCTATGTACTTTTCAACTTGTCACCATTCATGGGAGCTTCAGGAATAAATGTTCTAAGTAGGCTGTCAGCACTGATTAGTTTAATGCCATTTCTAAGCAATAACTTGATCATGCTGTTTCTCTCCAACTTGCTTTTTAGCCATTAGCTTTGGCTCTTAGTGCTTCTAATTATATGTTTCTAAAGGCAATTATTATTCAATTCACTTTAAAAAAACCTAACACCGCAAATATTTTTATTCAGATAAAGACTTTATGTTTTTTTTTTTTCATATAATCGAATATTTCAAATTTGTCATTTTGCCATAGCTTTAGCAGAGATGGTATCATTTTTCAGATTTTTAAGAACATGAAATCTTTATCATTATCTTTGATGAATTAAATATATAATTCTTTTGTTCCAAGGGCAAAGCTTGTGTCACTTTGTAAAACCTTTTGAAAAACAATAAATTATAAATAAAACATTTTATCTTTATTTCTATAAACCATTGACAAATAATTGAATTAACAAAGTCCACAAGATGTTATATCACCATGAACTTGATGTAGAGGATTTGCAGTGAGCAGCAACAAGTTAATCTTAATCAATTGAAAATATTGACTAAGTTTGTGACTTCTGATTAGACTTTAAATTCAAAACAAGTATTCATCAAGACTAAAATGAGTTGCTTTAGTTCATATTTTTCATCTGATGACCTAATCTACAAATTTAGAACCTCAAGAAAAAATTAAAATAATATATGTTTCGATTTTATGTAAAACAATATAAAATAAATGTGTGATTTTCAAGCATTTTTTATCCAATTAATCACATAATTATCATGAAATAAATAAATATATATGTGTATATATATATATTCTTAGGACACAAGTTAAGTATGATGTTTCATTAAGATTATCCATCAAGGAACAGAAGCTGAGTCCATTTGCAATTTATATAATTCACATATCTTTTTATAACAAATTTAAATTAAACAAAAGAAAAATAGAAAATTTATCCTGTGATGAATCTCCTGATACAAGCAAAAAGTTACTTTAGTCATACAATGATAGTAAATTTCTTGCAGGATATGGTAAGTAATTACGTAACAGAAACCACATGAAATGACTTCTTTGAAAAAGAGCAAAGGAGGAATGGTCTACCCTGGAAAAGAACTAACAAGGTTTGAAGGAATTAAAAAGGAAGAATGGATAAGTCTACAAAAAGGTTAGAAAGGGCGGGAGGCCCTACATCTAAGATTCTCAAGCCACATTGCCCCTATGGTGACCTGACCTGATGTCTCAAAGAATTAAGTGATGTTCTTTAAACATTACACCATTTTTGCAAGATGCTACAGCTTCCAAGTGTTTTGTTTTGAACACAAAAAAGAGATCCATCCATTTTCTAGGACATATTAAGGGAATGTGTCCTGATGTTTCTCCAATGATTTGCATATGCCATCTAAACTCTGATGTGAAAGCTATTGGCTACCATAGAGCTGATTTGGTCTAATTATGCAAAAACTTTGGTTTCTATCGGGAAAACAGGTTCTGCCCGATCGAGCATGCTGTGAAGAATATGGGCGCAACTCGATAATGCAACAGTACTAGAATGTTGTCAAAGACGGCATCATCAAGAAATATGTTTCAATTTAAGACCATGTTTAAGGAAATTGTTGAGGTTGCAATCATGACAATTCTCATTTGGTCTTTCCCTGGTTGAATAAAAGGATTGTTAAAGCGTGAGCCCTGAGGTCACCTACTCACATGGATTCTGATCATTCTCATTGCTCAATTTAACTCACAGAAATTAGGTTTTCGGATAATTTTCCAAGAATTAATGCCCTTCTAGAGCCTCAAACCATATTACATAAATTCATTAAAATTTGGTCTTGGATGATGAAAATTTTAGATACTCAAAATGTGCTGTAGTATTAGTTAAACTATATATAAAATTTTTATTCATACTAAATGTACAATACAAGTCAACTAATAATGGATTAAAATTATTTCAACTAATATATCACTCATTCAAGAGTGAATGAGTGATATATGTAAAGTAAAAAGATGAGAGACAAGCTTTACCTAGGATTGGTTTGGGCTTTTGAAGTGAATCCAAACAAAAAACCCAACTTTAGGCCCATGACTACCCATTATAGCAAATGGAACTCCTAAAAGGAAAAATAAAAAGAAGCCCATCCAAAAAGGAAAGAACCTTTTTCTCCCCTTCGTTGTAGGGTTTACCAAGAACCTCGAATTCAATTTCTCTTTCTTCCATATATCCGGCAATCAGAACTGCACCGTTTTATTCCTTTGTTGGGTTTTTGCGCAGATCAAGTTTCAGGTAAGAATTAATGGCTTAGCTTCGCAGTAATCAACGATTCCTTATTTTATTCCCTCTCGTGGCGATTCTTCCATTTTGAATCTTAGCCCTTATTGTATTTTACTCTTCTTTTACTTTTTACACGCTTTTTTTTTAGAATTTCGGGAGGATCATAGAGTAAATTGGTTCAATGAGTTGGTTTTTTAATTGGGTTTGGGTTTGTGTTCCAAGCAATTTGAATGAATTGGGATGATAAATTTTTAAATGGGTTTTGGTTTCTTTGTCCTTGTAAGTGATCTGTTTGGAATTTATGAGTTTCGTTAGTTAAATTGGTTGATGAACTGGAGTAACATAGGGAGACTTCATTGCCTGCTATCAAAATTCTACAATGTGCTTATCAATGGACTCTCTAATCTTCAATTTTCACTAGAATATATTTGCAGTGTGAACTCTTCTTTAGCATCTAAGCTATGAGTTCTAGTTCGCGAGCACCCATGTTCTGTATTGGTATTTGTTTGCCATTACGCCATGGTGACCCAAGAGCTCATATATTTCATATAATAATTTTAATCATGAGTGAAAATTGACTTTCGGGTACTTTTTGCAGGTTTCTTACGGGATGGATGAACTTTTTTCAATCAATCATCGTATATGCTTGTTTGAGTTTTATGTTGTCCCTTCTATATATTCTCTGGTCTCTAGCTGAGTTATACGTTTGTTTTTGTGCTAGTTTATGCACTCAGTAGTTTGTTTTCCCCAATGCTTCTCATGAAAGAACTTGCTTGTGAAAAGTGTACCATGATGAGAATAGGTGTGCTATGTTTCTAATCCGCTCCCATTCCATAATTTTTTGTTGATGCTATTAGGTATTTTGTCTGGATTGGTTGCAACATGGGTGATTTTTCAATCCAGATTAGCACCAACCTTATCAACCGACTTGCTGAAGATGATCAGAAGCTGAAGAAAAGAACAAAGAAAACTAAGACCAGGGTGCCACGACAGTCTCAACACCCACAAACTAAGGTAGATCAGAAGCAAATATCTGATGATTCTGAAAATCAGAAAGGGACTACAGGCACAGGATGGCCAGTTCCTCCTCCCTTATTTCTGCCTGTAAAACACCCTCCTTACTCTGCAAGTGCAGAGTTAGATGCAATTCGATCTATTGTTAAAGAGAGTGAGAATGTTGTAGAAAAGTTGCGGAAGCAGGAAGAGAACATGGGGCGGGAAGTAACACAAAAAGCTAAGGATCTCCATGATAAAGAGTTCAAGATTCCAGTACCAAAACCTATGCCTTGTTCGGTTGAGAATAATGCTTGGATGGCATGCTACAGGGAGAATGCTAATGACCTAACTAAATGTGCTCCTCTGGCTCAAAATTTTGCAGAATGTGCTCGCAGAGCTAGGCAGCTAGCAAAATCAGCTGATTAAGTAGACTTTGATAGGGACAAACTTTCAAGTCATACAAAGAGTGCAAGCCACTTGCCAGTTTGATTGAACCTTGAATTCTGGCGTTGCCAATAAACCAACATAAAAGAAAAACTACTAAATTGTTTATCACCCTTATTGGGGGTTACATTTTGTGCCCTTTGGTCTTTGTCTTATGATTTTGTTAAACTCTGTTAATTCATATATTCCAAGTGACATGATTGACTTGATTGCCTTCATTTTAATTGTGGTTCTTTAATCTAACATTGAAATGATTAATGGGAAATTGGCAGAAAGCACGAAACTTCTTGCCGTGGAGCACTAGACGCTAGCTAAAAGCCAAGGGACACGTCATATCATGTCATGAGGAGAGTTGCGCGGGGATCACGTGAGAAAGGGTCTAAGATTACTAGTTTTCCTTGCGCCTCTGGCGAGGAGCCAAGGATCATTAATTTGCCGTCGTGGTTTTTTGTTTCCTCGTTTCCTCGTTTCCCTCCCACCTTATCCGTCCAAATCGCCGATCCAAAGTTTCCTAGATTTCGACCAGTCCTGCTCTTTAGTTTTTTCACTCCAAATTTTCTCAGATCCCTTCGGAATCAAGTTACCTCATTTTTTATAGATAACCTATTTAATTCGAGATTAATTTATATTTTAAAATTAAAAATTGAAATTTATTTTTGATATTAAATTTAATTTAGAGTTATTATTATCATTTAAAAAAAAATTATCTTGCTAAAACTTAAAAAGAGTTTAACTTTAAAAGGATTATTAAATTAAAATTGTTTTAATTAAAAAAAAAACTATAATAAGGAATTACTTTTAGAGGTGAGTTTGGATTAAAGATCCAATGTTAAAGTTGATTAAAAAATTCAAACTAACAGAACCTTTTTTCTTATTATAATTGATATTAGAGCCATATAAAATAACTTCATTAAGATCTTGATTGTTTAAATATATCTGGTTAAGTGATATACCCTCAAGATGTGCCTTGACTTTGGAAAGTGAAATATATAAAAATTTTTAAAATCTATAAAACTGAAAAAATAATCAAAAGAAATTAAAAGCCTGAAACTGTGAGCTAAATAATTTTAGAGCATTGGCAAGTAAATATGTGAGTTTTGGATTTATTTTAGATTGAACCTGAATGTAATTCAAAGCATCATGTAAATATTTAGTGAAAAAGATGGTTTGGTTAAAAAAAAATTATCTTTATACATCATTGTCATTATTTTTCTATTATTTGCTTTGATTTTGAAGTCAATGATGTAAACAAGGATTGAAAACCATGCAGAAATAAAACAAATACTTTAACCACTCTGTTGACAAAAGCTGTGTAACTTGGTAGTATCCACAATACTTTGAAACTATGAATCTATGAGAAAATAGCAATTAAAAAGAGAAAAATCACAAGATTAGCATGTAATAGTTGAAGTTTAGTATGGAGTTTCATGGCTTGCCGATCTTCATTTTCCCTGGATTGAGACAAAGTATAAGACTTTATGGCTGCAAAGCTAACACTAATTCAACTATTCTCACTAGAATCAGGGAAGTTGGTTTTATTATTGGTGATGTTGTTCTTACAAGTTTTAAACTTGTAACAGGTTCATGGTACAGAAATAGAAAAATCTTCAAGCAACTTTGTCATTATTGTTAGAAGCATATAATGGTTAAAAAAGTGCAGTGATCTTTTTTCCTTTTAAAGCTTTTAGCAAACAATCGAAGTATCTTAGTTATTTATGCCGATATAACATGTCAAGTCAGTCTGACATGATTAGTGCCACCTTAGCTTGATCCTGTCCTAATTGTTCCTTTTTTTTTTCTCCTCAACTTACCTATAAATATGAAAACTCAGGCACCATAAAAGCTAGATTTATCTAATTCATCTCTTTCTCTTCTTCCTACTTTTCCACTTCCTTTCTAACTTGATCTTTACTGACTTATGCATCAGAATGTAAATGTAGGGAACACTCCTTATTTTTACCTCTAACCGTCCTTTCCTTCTACACTTATAGGAATAGCCTTAAGTTAAAGCTCGGTACCAACATTTGGTGCACTAGGTAGGGGACAACATTTTTATATTAGTCGAGCATAAAATAATGCCATAAAAAAAAACCCAAAAGAAAGGAAAGGCAATTGCCTTGGTTGAAATAGAAACTTACCAAAGCTAGCATTTTATCTGCCTAGCTTAACCATAAGTGAAATCGACCATGAAGCAGTTTTAAGCCCTGATCGAACAAATATAAACTTTTAGGCTGCAAACTATAACCCCACCAAAAATTTTTAAAGTGCCAGACTTAGTCACATTAGGCCAAGAAGCTGTTGTTAGGTAACCGAGCTACGAAGAGGCAAAAGCTTCATTGGCCTCAAGAGAATAAAAAAACACTAACCCAGCTCATCACCACCTCAGCTACAATTCTACACATGCCATAACCTAAAAGTCCAAAACAAATAGACTATGAACTTTAACCAAATAGAGATTTAGATGCTTGAATGCAAGCCATGAAGAAAGAGCTGAAAATTAAAGTAGCGACATTTAAGGATAAGCTTAGAGGGGTAAACATAAATCTTAAATAAATAATTTTTTCTATTTTCTAATTTGATTTAGAGAAGTTTGATGATTACAATTTAAAATGAACAGCTTAGAACTTTTTTTTTTTGTTGTTGGCATTTTCCAAACATGTAACCTACCCATTACTAAACATATGATTACTTTAATTTTGCTGTCATACTTAATTTTATAATTAAAAATAAAGGGGTGAGTGATTGGTTTCAGTTAGGAAGGTGGTTCAATCCTTTAATTATTTGATTAATCCTTTGATTATGTATTTCCAATTGATTAAACTAGTTTTAGCCACAACCATCATGTGGGTGTGAAAGAGGAAATTAAAATAATAAGGAAAATGGTTTTTGAATGAACAAAATGCATGTCAAATAAATAAATTATTTTATATTTTTTATATTCAAATAACTTTTTATTTTTTAATTTATTTTCAAGTAAATTTTATATTGAACAAAATTTTGATTTATATCAAAGATTTATTTAAATATAAATTAAAAGTTAAATATTTATTTGAATATAAAATGAAATTTAAAAATTTATTTAAATATAATACAAGTACAAAATTTAGAATTTTTTTTATTATTTTGGCTTAGATTTTATTACGATTAAAAGTATATTATATACAAACTAATAAAAGAAGCAAGAAAAGCGAGAGATTCCTCCACGATATTCCAACCGAGCACAACGCTTCATTTTTGTCGAGAATTAAAGTGAGAAAGAAAATTATATTATTATATTTAGTACAAATACAACGAACTTTCATACACACATAATTACCTAACCCAACCACCTAGTTATCCCTCTACCATGGCTCTCATCTCTAGTTCTCTCCATTTCGACTTATGGTCATGGCTAAACAAGAATACCAGCGGAATTGATGATTTCTCACGCCTCTTTTTCACTTTTTTTGGTGTTTTTGCAATTATCTGGTATACATGCATGCTCGTCAAGTTCAATAAGGGGAAGCCCCCATCGCCGCCAGGCCCTCGAGGCCTCCCCTTGGTGGGAAACCTTCCCTTCCTTGACCCTGACCTTCACTCCTACTTCGCTGTACTAGCTCGTACCTACGGGCCAGTTGTGAAACTCCAGCTTGGGAGCAGGATTGGTATCCTGGTGACCTCCTCATCCACGGCTCGAGAAGTGCTTAAAGACCAAGACATCGCATTTGCCAACCGTGACGTGCCTGTGGCTGCTCTCTTAGCAACCGGCGGGCGTAACATAGTTTGGAACCCCTATGGTCCTGAGTGGAGGATGTTAAGAAAGGTATGTGTACTCAAGATGCTTAGCAATGTCACTTTGGACAAAGTATATATGCTTCGTCGTAGAGAAGTACGAGAAACCGTGGGTTATATATATAGCAAGGCTGGATCGCCTGTAAATGTCGGTGAGCAAATGTTTTTAACGATATTGAATGTGATTACCAATATGTTATGGGGTGGCACGTTTGAGGGGGATGCCAGGGCCAGCCTTGGCGCGGAGTTCAGGCACGTCATCTCAGAAATAACAGAGCTTTTGGGTCTGCCCAATATTTCTGATTTTTTCCCAGTCCTGGCACCGCTTGATTTGCAAGGTATAGTCAAACGTATGGGAAAGCCGGTGGAGAAGTTGAACGGAATATTTGAGAAAATAATTGATCAGAGGTTGAAGATGGAAAGCGAAAGTGGAGCACAGCACAGCAGGGGAATTCAAGGACTTCTTACAGTTTCTAATCCAGTTAAAGGATGAGGAAGATTCCAAAACACCAATGACCATGAACCATATCAAAGCCTTGCTAATGGTGAGTTTTTTTTATCTTCCTTTTTATTTCTCATAAAAAAAAAGTTTTGACATTTTTAGTACTATTAATTGCCCAGATTATTTTTGGTACTATTTTTTTGCCTGAATTTTTTTGGGTAGTATTTGTTGTTAACTCGTATAGACCATTTTCATTTGTTATTGAATATTGGTTTTCTTTTTGTCCCGATTGAATATTGGTTAGTTATTAAAAAAACTAAACACTAACTTACTTTTTAAATAGATAGCGATAGATACGGTAGAGCAAAGCCAGCCTTTGTGAAAAAAAAAAAAAAAAAGTAAATGGCAATGAAAAGTACATTCTGTGCTCGAAATCTAACGACTATATAATTGTCTTCAAATTTACTGTAAACAATTATTTACCCAACATTTATACAAAATACTACAATATAAAAATTTAATTAAATGTTATAAACAGTAATGAAATTTTTTTGGATATCAGATAATCCAAACAATCAATGTTAGATCCTTCTCTTATCAAAAAATTTATTTATAAAATTAAAAGACAAATCACATCAGATAAAAACCACAAAAAATCTTGAACACTCTAGGCCTACCAATAGTCACCATAGACCTCACAGTCACAGGACCCACCACCGATCACTAAAAAGTGACTCCTCGACAACATAACGTAACCGATATAATAACTTAGATTACTTATAGAAAAAATTAAAAATTAGTATCTAAACAACCAACCCAATACCACCAAGACAAGCAAAACACTCAACAAAACAAAAAACCCCAAAGAACCTCTACTCCTCTACCCACCCAAAGCTACCACCTGCATACTTTCATAATTTCGCCACCACCAAAAACAGTGCTTGAAATCCTATTTTCAACACAAAGAAATCCCAAATTTTTAAAATGAAAAATCAAAAAAAAAAAAAAAGAAAAAACAAAGTCAGCCACAAATACCATAACCAAAAAGTAA